GAGTTTCCTTGGTTGTTTTTTAGATCATTGTCTTGCTGAAATGTCCACCCTGGTTTCATCTTCATCATCCTGCTAATGTAGATGTTGGACTGAAGCAGCTAATATTCATTTACATTGAGAAAGGGCAGAGGTACTACTGAGATATTTTAGTTGCTGTCTGGGCTTTCACTGCCTTTCTAAACCTCCCTTTCTTCATGTGTTCAATACTTATTCCTTGCATTTTATTACACATAACTTCATTTAAAAATTAATTTGTTTTTTGTTTTGTTTTTTGCATATATTTTGCAAATATAGATTTCTTTGGTTGTTACCAACCTACCAAAATTTCAAGTCAACAGCATCCTTAGAAATATGTTTTTTTTTTTTTTTAAATTGTGACATATTCAATACTTATTTCCCCACTGTATATAAAAAATAAGTTGTTAATGATAAATGTTAATTTTTGTTTAATAAAACAGTTTGACTCAAATGTAAATAATATAAAGTTGAATTTTTATTGTCTTTGCATTGGGATTTATGTGGATTTCTAATATTGAGTTAAGTAATTAAATTACGTATTGAGTAACTAAGTTACTTTTTAGACAAAGTATTTATCGTGTAATATGTACTTTTTTTTTTTTTTTTAAGTAATTTAGCCAACACTGCTCTGGACACATCTAGATGTTCACTATTAGTGAATCACTGCAAATGTTTTTGCAGCTTTACTCCTCCAAGCAAAATATTAATAATAGTTAGAATTAATAATATTAATTAGAGTAACATATGAAAGTACTATTGTTTTGTATTTAGCCTTAATCAGAAGCAATATTTATTTTTTAAGCATTATTATTCCAGACTTTTGACCCCCAGTGTGCATTTTTTCTTTTTTTTTCTTTTTTTCTTCCTCCCTTTCTTCCTTTCTTTTTGCACATAGGATTAAGTGTGACAAAGCAAACCCTTGTTAGGTTTTTGCTGTTTTATTTTTATTAATTATAAAGTTTTACTGTTTTTATTTTTATATGTACCAGATTACCTCTGCTGAGAGCTGAAATATTGATGGTTTCAGGTCTTAAGACTATTTTGGTGAAAACAATTGTCTAGAATCCTTCCAAGTAAGCATCTCAGAGTTGGCATGACTTCATATTTACCTTTATTAGTAGTTCTGTTACCTTTTTTATTATTACTTTTACATAAATGGGCTATTATTAATGACATGTAGCATGGATACAATATGTTTCTCAAGGGCTAATACTGTGGACTTACTTGAAGGACAGTCTTAAGACAAAAGCCCACATCTACCTGATATGCACTGCATCACCTGATGGATCATCTGGAGGAGGACTGTGTTTCAGTGTGGCTCTGTTTTCAATATGACAAATGCTCACTGTGGTCAGATACAGTAGCACACATGCATCGTGTGTCAGTTTATTAGCATTTTCTTTTGTGCTTGGTCTTGTAGATGCATTTGGTTTGCATATTTTACATATCGGTAAATCATTTAAATAAATGTCCTTAATTTAACATGCATTGTGAAACACTCTAGTGGTGTGTGTGTGTCTGTATTATGCAACAGAACAGTTCACCTAAGCGATGACCCTTGTGTCATTCCAAACACGCAAGACCTTCTTTCATCTTCTAACACAATTATTTTGATGATATCCGAGAGCTCTGATACTCCATAGACAGTGTCCTGCAATATTCAAAGTGCAGAAAGGTAAGATCATTGTCAAAACAGTCATTGTCATCAGTGGTTCAAATGTAAATTTATAAAATTACAAACTATGAGAATATTTTACAGCACAAATAAATGTAACAACTTTATTCAGCAACTACTCTTCAGTCTCAGTTCAGGCCACACATTCTCAAGCACTCGCAAGTGTTGCTGTACATCTTAATCTTCAATGCGGAAGTGCGTTCGTTTTTGCAATTGTTTTAGAACTTCTGATTCAGCTGCCTGGGGAAGAAATGGCTAGGAATAATAAATACGCAGAAAATGGTCAAACTGCTCGCTCTACAAACAAGTGTTTGCATGATTATACAGACAAAGCAAAATCAATTATTAAAAAGTTTAAGTTTACAACATCAAGCGGCACAACGAGCTGTTTTACGGTACGATATATAGTGGGTATCAGACCAAACAAAAAGCACTGCATTAAGAATCTGCTATTATATATATATATATATATATATATATATATATATATATATATATATATATATATATATATATATATATATATGCTGAATTTTGCTGACAGAAGTAATATATATATATATATATTACTTCTGTCAGCAAAATTCAGCATACACAATAGCAAGTACAGTGATTGCAAGCCATTATCTGTTATTTTAAAGTCTTTAAAATAACAAATAAACTCTTAAAGAGCGGCATTTGCGAAGTCATTATGCAGGATTTTATTAATTTTTTTTTTAACCCTGGCAACCCTGCAGGTGTGAATCATTTTTTGAAATCGATTCAGTTGATTTTCAATTCAGTTCGTTTCAAGCAGTACTGCAGCTAGTGAAACAGTACAAGAAAAGAACAAAAAAAATATGCTAGAACGAAATAAAACGTCTGCAAAGGGAAAAGAGAAAACATAAGGAGTGGCGTAGGCAGTGCTTAATGCAAATACAGTCAAACGTTCTCAAAATGGCGACGTGTTTGCATTGGATTATTTGTTTTGAATGGATTGTGTTTATGTATTACATTGTGTTGTTGTTTTGAAACTTTATGAATAGGCTAACAACAGCTACAATTTAAAACGGAGCTGTTTTTGTATTTCAACTTACCAGAAAACGGCAACCTCCACACCTTTGTAGAGTTGAACTATGCTGTCGTCTCACCTGTAAAAAGACAGGTAATCTGACTTCTTTCACCCTTATGGTTCTTTCTTTGACGGGCTTTACTCTTTTCTGACTGACAGTGTTTTGGAGTGGGCTCTGGGGGGCGTTTGGGATCTTGAGTTTTTGCACTGGTCGTGGGTGTGTGCTACGTTCTGCTTTGCCGATTGCAAAACGTGATTGGGAAACGGTTTGCCAGAATATACCCCGACCTTCAAGTATAGTAAAACACAGTGATGTTAAACTGAATGGGGGACAGTATATTAGCCTACCATGCAGAATAGTTAGTTTCAAATGGTATGCAAAAGCTTAAAACTACTGATATTGCAAATATAAAAGTTAAAATAACAAAATATATAAATAAAAGATGTAAAAAGACGTTTGGTTAATTAAAAAATGTGATATATTATTTAATACACTTTGAGAAAAGTATTTTGGTGTCAACATGTAATATTTATTAATAGGATGTTCAAATGTGACCAGACGGAACTTATTTGTGGTTAAATATGTTATTCCAGAATGGTAGCCATGTTTTTGTTTTCAGGAGAATATCTTCCAAAATGTTCTTTCTTTTTTTCTTTACTTTTCTTTTCTAAATCATCATTCTGAAATACAATAAAATGAGCCATGAAAATAGCAATAGAAGCTGGTGTGGCATTAAAAGGCAAATAAACAAAATGCAAATTGTGAATATGATCTCTTGAATCCTATTTGAGGCTTCATAATTTAAATGCTTATCCTAATATTTCCATAATTTAACTGATTAATGTGCATTCAGTAGTTTACATTCATGTGTATTGTTTTATTACAGTATTAACATTAATGCTGATGATTCATCCTGATGATCCCTCGGTTCCAGCTCGTATCTCAGCCTGCCTGTTGGATATTTCACACTGGATGAAAGATCATCATCTTCAGCTGAACCTCGCAAAAACGGAAATGCTTGTAGTTTCTGCCAACCCGACTCTACACCATAACTTTTCAATCCAGATGGATGGGGCAACCATTACTGCATCTAAAATGGTGAAAAGCCTTGGAGTAACGATTGATGACCAACTAAACTTCTCTGACCACATTTCTAGAACTGCTCGATCGTGCAGATTTGCACTCTATAACATCAGAAAGATCCGACCCTTCTTATCTGAACATGCAGCTCAACTCCTTGTTCAAGCTCTTGTTCTCTCCAAACTGGATTACTGCAACTCTCTACTAGCTGGGCTTCCAGCTAACTCTATCAAGCCTCTTCAACTGCTCCAGAATGCAGCAGCACGAGTTGTCTTCAATGAACCTAAACGAGCACATGTCACTCCGCTGCTAGTCCGTTTGCACTGGCTGCCAGTTGCTGCTCGCATCAAATTCAAAGCTCTGATGTTTGCCTACAAAGTGACTTCTGGCCTAGCACCTTCTTATCTGCACTCACTTCTGCAGATCTATGTGCCCTCCAGAAACTTGCGTTCTGTGAATGAACGTCGCCTCGTGGTTCCATCCCAAAGAGGGAAAAAATCACTTTCGCGAACGCTCACGCTCAATCTGCCCAGTTGGTGGAATGAACTCCCTAACTGCATCAGAACAGCAGAGTCACTCGCTATTTTCAAGAAACGACTAAAAACTCAACTATTTAGTCTCCACTTCACTTCCTAAGCTGCAATTGCCTCTTTGAATATCACACTAATTGTACAAAAAAAAAAAAAAAAAAAAAAAACTACTAACACTTCCCTTCTTAGACTTTACAGACCCGAAACTTGCCTTTAGTACTTATTCATTGTTGCTCTTAGTTGTGTAAATTGCTTCCTTGTCCTCATTTGTAAGTCGCTTTGGATAAAAGCGTCTGCTAAATGACTAAATGTAAATGTAAATGTAAAATGCAATTTTCACATTTCACCTTCCTCGATAAATCCTGTTAACTGTGGAATTCAGTTTCCATTTTTATCACAAAACTAAACTCATTTTTAAAGCATTTTATCATGCAATGCGAGTCCTCTGTTCTTGAGTAATTGCAGAGTGTGATTTGCCAGCATTTTTAAATTAGCATCTACACCGAAAGAGCAATCTGAATGTGTTTGTGCCAACATTTTACCACTGGCATGTAATGAGTTATTAAAGTGAGAAATGAGTGTGAAAAGAGCTGCGGTAAGTGCAGTCAGGCAAGTGCAGTCAAAAGAGAGACCGTCCTATGTTTATTTTGAATTCATATAAAAACCTTCATATTTATTCAAACTAGTTTCCCTTGGATCTCTGTACAAACTTTGACATCGAACACCTATGTAAAATAAATAGAAAAACCATGAAACGACACATTTGCATTCCTCATGTGTATAAATCACATACAGCGCCTTCAAACCCACAATAAATCACACTGATGTTCTTTAGCAATGGGGTGAATTTCTTACTAAACCACAATCAAATCATTTACATAGATGTACAGGATATATGGCAGCATTTCTCTATATATTCTCTCTCCTTTTTATTTCAGACAGCAGGTCTTTGGCAGCCATTTCTCGTTGGTTATAAACTTGGAGCACCATCAATATTTCTGTCAGGTTTATCTTTGGCACACAGAAATGAAAAAGGCCTCAGGTCTGAAGACCGCATTGATGTTTGTTCACTTCCTAGAGCAGTTTAAAATATGAGCTGAGGGGGGAAACGTAATGGCTTTCAGGAGAACAATAAGTTCTGTCAAAGTTCATTTGAACTAGTTGACAACATCAGGTGGACAAAAAAAGTCTCTTATTTGTTTGGAACTAGAAAAGTAGACATTTTCTGGACCTTGGAGTATGTTGAAATGTTTTAGGCATTACAGCTGTGGTTAAACTATATCTGTAACGGAGTCTCTGAGAGAGTCTTGAGGTCTGGTGTTTAGTTTCCGCCTGGTCCTTTCATGCTAGAGTCTTTGAGGGATTGGTGTGCGGCCCCTGCGCTTAGATTACAGGCTGAAGGATCGCAGTAGCCTGGTGGTCCGGCCGAACCGGGTGGTCCAGGAACACCTGGCTGACCTGGAGATCCAGGTGGACCACGTTCTCCATCACGTCCATCTTGACCATATCCTGGTATTCCAGGTTCACCTGCAAGACAGCAACAGGTCAGTCATTTTTATATACTGTATTTTTGGACTGTCCATTATGTATTTGACATTAACGTCAAACGAAACAAATTTTGAATGGCGGATTTTGTTAATTACTTCACGTTTTTGTTGCTTTTTAAATTAAAGTATGGGATTATTTTATGAGAAAAAAAAATCTGTTACCTCTTTGTCTCTGAATAGTTTATATAATGGTTGCAACTTGTCAATTTGACAAAAGTAATTGTCTGTATTTTATCCAGTAAATTAATTATCTTATTATGCTTATTTATTTTAAGATAAATACATATTTTCCCACACATTTTTAATTAGGGTTGTTGAATTTAACATCAGAATTTCTCATTTCTTTTCAGAATTAGAAAAATCTAAATAAATTAGTTTCAATCTTACAGTTTTAGTTTACATTATGTTTTTTTGAACTGTTCATATGTGTTTGACCTACAGCCATCATCTTTATTTGGTTGAAGTCATACAGGTTTGTTGCTTTTTAAGGTTTGAAGTTTTTAATGGCAGATTTCATTAAATACTTCCAACATTTTTTAGCTTTTTAAATGAAACTGGGATTATATTGAGAAAAAAATACCAAAAAAAAAAAAAAAATTTTTTTGAATAAAAAACTTTTGCTTCCCTTTGATATTAATGTGTACCTAGGGCTGGACAATTTGGCCTAAAATCAAAATCTCGATTTATTGAACATTTTAACTCTATTCCGATTATTTATTTATTTATTTATTTATTTACCCTCATAGTTCACTGACAGGTTTTGTACAGTAAATATGCTCACATATTACAAGTGAGAGATTTTTTAATGAAGGGTGCATTAAATAATTAAAGGAAACACACACTATCTACTATCTATGATTATTTATTGAACATCAATGTTGAAAAGCTGAAATTAAAACACACACACTGTCCAAAACTAACTGTCACTTTTTCTTATAATAGTGAAAATGAATAACTTGCACTTTTGAAAACAAAATAAATTATTTTCAGTGTTTTTCATATTAAAAATAGAAAATAAGCAGTTTCTTTTCTAAATCAAATAACTCTTGTATATCCTGTAAATAATATTTTAAACAGTTTATTTCTTGCATCTTCATCATGTTTTAATTTAAATAATAATTTTAATGTAATTGAAAGTATGCTGTATCAAAGCATCAATGGAGCAGCTTTGTCAATCTTCAATGTAGTGTAAAGTAACATGACAGTAACAAACAGAGCAGGGTAACGTGAGTCCACGAGCGGTAAGTAATAAAAAAGTTGACCTGAAAGAAAATAGACTGATTATTGGTTCTGAATGTCGATTTTGATTACTTTTTGATTAATCACCCAGCCGTATATGTACTGAAATTTGATCAGTATGTATAAAGATGATCATTTGTTAAAATGTGTTTATTGTGTAAATACGTGTATTTACAGTGTACTTGTGGTTGATTAAATGCATGTAATAACATTTGTGCTCAATTTCTGTAATTACAGCTTTAATAACACTTTTGTCCATAACTTACCCCTTACCCACCCTTAAACCTACCCATACCACCAACCATATCCCTAACCCCACCCCTATCCCACCTCAAGAGCACCTGAAGTGTTCTTCAATTCATTGTGAACACAGTATTTATTTTCTGATGCAAGTACATAGTAGTTAAGGGCACTTAATATAAAGCGGGACCAAACTTTTTTCTCTGACTTTTTATTTTATATCATGGTTGCAACTTGGTTGGCAGGTAATTGTGAGTATTTTAATCTATAAATTGATCTAATTATCCCTTTTGCAACATTCATTCATTCATTTTCTTTTCGGCTTAGTCCCTTTATTAATCTGGAGTTGCCACAGCGGAATGAACTGGCAACTTATACAGCAGATGCCCTTCCAGCCGCAACCCATCACTGGGAAACCTTTGGCAACAAAATAATAAAAATATAAATACATATTTTATCTCACAGTCTTCCTTTTTTCAGAATCTCACAATTTTACTTATTTTTTTATTATTTTAATATACATCTTAATTTCAATTTAAACTTTTTTTAGTTTACATCTCACAGTTTTTTCTATTTTGCCTCAGAATTTTGAGTTTACCTCACTATTAAGTTTTTTTTAGAATTCTGTTCACATTTCTGAATTTTGCCTATATCCTTTTGGATTGTGAAGGGAAAGATGATTTTATATATAAGCTTTTCTTCTTTGCAACATAATATAAAAAGATAAATACTTAATTTTCTCTCATATTTTTTACTCGGGGTTGTTGAGAAGTTTACATCAGAAATTCTTGCAATTTTATTTATTTTTATTTTTTTATTTACATCTTTCAGTTTACATCTCAGTTTTTTTTTTCTTTTGCCTCAGAATTTTGAGTTTACGTTAAAATGTTAAAACATATATCTTTGTTAAATTCACATTTCTGTTTACATTTCACAATTTATGTGAATGCCTTTGGATTGTAAATGGAAAAAATAACCAGAAATTGATGTAACATATACAGTAAACTCACATTGATTTAAGATACAAGCTTTTCAGAATTGTGAGATCGCACTCATCATTATCTGTTTTATTTTTTTTTATTTCTATAGCGGAAAGAGATTTCATGGAATTACATATTTAAAAATATAATATATATAATATATATAATATATCTGCCTCTTACAATCAGAGCACAAGTTAACGACTGCATAAGAAAACCTTATTTAAAGAGACAGCTCCATTGGCCTGACAGTAAGTGTCATTGACACACACAGAAAACAGAAGCTTTTTATAAACCTCCAATTCATCAAACGTCTGACAGCTTCATTTAACACCAATTTAACTTTGCTTTCAAAAGTCTATCACCAGGACAGAGCTAAATTTATCTCCTGCATTGAGTTGGTTCAGATTCAATTGGTCTGCAGACAATATTCATTAACACCTCTAGCAATTTTGCATTATTACTGTGATTTGGCTTTGACAAGAGGAGGAAGTAGGAGATGAGAAACAGAAATAGAACTGACCTGGTAGTCCAGGAGGTCCCGGCTGGCCTTTGGGTCCCCGAACTGTTGGACCCCTGTCTCCTCTGTCTCCCATCTCACCTGAAACACACACACGTTTAGTGGCGTAACAACTAGTTTGATTTCCATTAAACACATGACAAAATATTGCAGATAGTGTTTTTTAGTAAGTGTTTTATTTTCTAAAATTATTAATATAAAATTAGGAACATATACAAGGCATATAATTGCAGTAAAAATATCAGTAAATTAGCAGTTTTCCATAATTTGCGTTTTAAGTTTTGTATTTTTGTTTATATATACTTTTGAATTGCATTATGGGATCTTGATCTTTCTTCCAACAACTTTGAACCTTGAAATGTTGGAAAAAGTGACTTTTATGAACATTTATAATAGTTAAAGTGATGTATTTTCTGGGTTTGTGTTGTGTTTTACGCTACAAATATGTAATTTTACAGCCTTATTTCTCTATATATTATTTTCTATACATTGTATAATCTCAAACTACTAATATGTAAAAAAAGTCACTTTGTTGAACCATAAAGTTGAATTTTCAACATCGACAGAGATCAACATCCTATAATTCAATTCACAATGGTAAATAAACTTAAAACACAGAGAAAAAAAACACAAACATAATTATCAGGTTTTTTTTTTACAATGTAGTAATATAGTAGTAGTAGTATTTTAACTTAAACAATAGCACTATAAAATGTTAAATATGTAATATTAATACTGTAAATTACTATCAGAATCATAAATATTTGATAATCACAGTCTGTTACTTTCACAGTCTGGGACTTTATTAACTTTTACTTGACTTTACTCTGAAAGAAATACTAATAGTGATGTATTTAATTATTCACTCTCAAATTATCAAACATTAAAGCTTTTATTCGGATGGAATAATGGTTTATAAAATTCCATTAAATGCTATCCACAAAAATGTAGCATATTTATGATAATATGAACTTTTATAATTACTACTCACATTTTTTATTGTCAATTAATTGTGCAATTAGATTTAATTATTACCCTGTTTTTAATCCCCCATTTGATAGGCCATGCTATACTCAATTAAATCACATATTGCTCTTCCAGGACCAGCAGCCTGAACTCATAATGAATCATAATGTCCCATAATGACTGACCTTTTGGCCCCTTGACACCCATCAGTCCCGGAGGCCCTTTAAGTCCCGGCAATCCTCTGGATCCTGCATGCCCCGGGAAACCACTGTCACCTTGGGGCCCGGGAGGTCCCGGAGGTCCAGGTTTGCCTGGTAGTCCAACTGCTCCAGACTCTGGTCTCCTCAGACTGGCAGCCAACTGTGCCAACTGCTCTGAAAGCACAAAGAGCAAACGCACTAATGAGTGCCGATGTTCCCCCGCTATTAGCGCTACAGTTTTCATTTCATTTCTCCACTGATTTTGATGTTGCTTTCACTAATTAGCACTGCATACTTACGGCGTTCTGTAATAATGCTACGGCGCCTCCTTTAGGTTGATGCACATATTCCTGCTTTTAGTTCTCACATAATACCTTTCCATTACTGAATGTAAAATTTTGGATTAAACAGGTATACCTTAGAGACGGAGCTTTTTTTATTATTGTGCTATTGCTGAAAACTGTTGGTGAAAACTATTGCCATTGGTATTTGTAAAAAATACCATATATATATATATATATATATGTTTGAATATGAGCTTTTTCTGCTAACCAAGACTGCATTTATATGATAAAAAATACAGTAAACTGTAAAATCTAACACCACCGCCAACCTGATTTCACCTAGTAGGACCTGTTCCTGGAGTAACATCCATGTTGATCCCGGAACAACATTCCAATCAGTCAGTTGGAATTAAAGGAAAAGTTTACAGTTTATGTTAAATTTAGGCTTACGGTTAGGGTCATGCACTTCTAAATAATTGTTATCAAACTATTATTCCCCTCTGATTTTGGGGATAATTTACAGTTATGATTAGGCTGAGGGGTAGGGAATAGATATGGATTATGTTTTCGAACAGAAATGAAGCTCCAGGATGAACATAGATGTTAATCGAGGATCGCATCATACTTTGCAAAATCGTGACATGTCTAACACTACAGTTAACACATTTGGTAGACTAAACAGAGCATGACAGTTATTGCATTGTAAACTAAAGCTCAGTGACCATTAAAAAAAGTCTTTTTGGTCTATAATATCTGTATAAAGTAATAATTGATAAAAAATGCACACTCAAGATGGTGATGCAACAGCATTATTTTGAAATTATTTAATGGATGGGAGTCAATTTTTTTTTGTACTATGGTTACTACACTGTTCAGATGTTGCATTTCATGATATTTGACAGGTTGTTGTTTTTTTCACACATCTCAACCAAAGCCTTCTGTTTCGGTTTGATTTGATTTTTGACTAATGTAGGATGTGAAATAACTGAAATGATTCAGCGTATGTTGACATAGAACTATAATGCAGTTAAACCTGCCTGGAACTACTTTGGCCATGCTATTCCCTGAAAATAATTGCATGGCTTAGAATGTTCATCAGCCAATCAGAGTCAAACATTTTAAAGTATAAAATTAATTATTCCGTTGCCTGCTTTTTGGCTGAAAGGTGTGCAATATAACTGTTTAATGCACATAGTGCCAGTCGGTTTTGATCACTTCTCTCAAACATTAGTAGTAATTACCACAGTAACTGCAGTGACAATTACCGGGGACTTCATTCATGTGTAATCTTGAGGACTGTGACAAGCACCAGGGAGCCCATTCTGGTCAAACAACTTTACAAATATGCTTTAAAGTATTTGCGAAGAGGTAGCTAACATGTCATTCTCTCTCCCATGTGTTCTCCTGTTCGGCCTGTTACTGATTCAATGTGAACTAGTTGATCAAAATTCAGTCAAATATTGCTCTGCAAAAAGCAAAACTAGTTTTAACTCGTCTATAACTTAGCAAATAACCACAGAATATGTGGGATAATCAATGGATGGCCACACATTTTGGACTTTAATGAATGTGAAATTTCTGCAGTGCCAATTTAAAATCCTTTAACCCTCAGCAATCCTTTTATTATCCTTTACTTATCAAATTCCACTCAACTTTAATAATGTGAAAAGTCAAATATGACATATTTGATGACCATAAGTGTTCTCACCTTAAGCACTGATTTAAAGCAAAGTTTCAAAGTAGACACGTCCATCATCATTAAAAAGTACAGAAATATTACACTGTTTATGCCCATGTGTATGCATTTAAGATTCTAGCACAGCATGATTTATACCTGCAGGACTGCAAATTATTCTAAAGCGCGTGGGCTACATTATAATATCAGATGTAAATATGCCAGACCAGGTGCAATGTTCACCAGTCCACATCTCTTAATGCCAACACCACAAGTGCTTTACATTTTGCAAATTTGAAATTAAGGCCCTAGACTAATTTTATTTTGTGAATAAGCAGATTATTTCCAGCTTTCAATATACACTCTGTGCTGCAGAACGCTGTTAAAGCTCACTCCTTTCATTTGTCCTCATTCATCCTTTGAATGGCGTTCTATCGTGTTTTCAATTTGCAATGGGAAATTGAGCATAAAGGAAGAGCATTGCTGCCGGTTCTACATCTTTCTTTTCCATTGTGCAAAAGGATAAAAGGGCAGAGCGATTTATTCGCGATGTAAAGAATCCAATCCCAGGCCGTGAGCCATTGAGCCGAGGCGAGGGTACAGTAGATTTCAACTTTCACTCAGAAAACATCCTGCAAATGTATGCGGGCCGATGCTCGACTGAGCTTTTTTGGGGAGGGAAAGAAGGAAAGTCATCACGTTGAGGCAAAAGTGCAGATCAGCTGAAAGCGAAATGAATTTTTCAGCAAAATGTGAATGAAAAAGTCATGAGGGAATCAGCGGAGTGCACTCAAAAGGACTTGGAGAGAGGCAGAACTGATGGCTAACTTTAGTAAAGTGTCTGCGCTCATCAGAGCAGAATCAAAAGGAATCTTTGAAACAAAACACAAATTTTTTCTTTCTCGCTTTCATCTTGTTGGTCAGCGGTTGGAGATTTCTAATGCCTTGGCGGTGTAATTGCGCCTCTGCATGCATCAAAGGGAAATGACTTTCATTTCTGAAATGATAAAAATCGGCTTCCAGACTTACCCTGCATAACTCGCATGCACACTTGTCTGATGTGTTGATCACTCGGTTCCTTGCCCTGTGAACAAAGGAGGAGTGGTTAAGAAGAATATCACAAACATATGACAGTTATAGTTATCTCATATATATATATATATATATATATATATCATAGTCATACGTCTGTGTGTATGTGTGTAAATATGACGTGTGTGATGTGTATATTATGTGTATGACTTCACTGTGGATGGCAAAGTAAGAATTTCATTGTACAGGGAAACTTGTTTTCTTACTGTCCACATAGCAATAAACAAATTGAATTTCATTTCAAGCCAATAAACTTTTCCCTGAAAGATCAACAAAATATTGTAATTATGTAGCTAGATCTGCAGTAGGTAGATCGCTGGTCACTGTAACAGGTGGAATGAACCGTCAACTTATCCAGCATATGTTTTAAACAGCAGATGCCCTTCCAACTGCAACCCAATACTGGGAAACATCCATACACTTGCATGCATGCAAACACAAACGGCCAATTTTAGGTTATTCAATCCACCTCATGTCTTTGGACTGTTGGGGAAACCGAAGCACCTGGAGGAAATCCATGCGAACACTCGAACCAGCAACCTTCTTGCTGGGAGGTGACAGTGCTAACCACTAAGCCACCAAATCGCCATATAAGATTTCTTGTAACACTTTAAATTTATTAACTGTCACTTTAAAAAAAAATAAACTGTGAATGCTAGCTAAATAAATGTATTAATTTCTTTTCATACCTAGACAGTGCAACATAATAATAATAAACTCAAAAAACATAACGCATGCATTCTGTCATTTGCATGTAAAGAGAAATCTGAGCTCAATGTTTACTTATTAATACAAAAAGGTTGACCACAGTGCTGTACACAAAACAATTCACTTTAAAAGATATAAGTAAAAGTATAATACCCATCCTTACCTACAATAAGAGCTTAATTACCTTAAAGTAATAACGTTCCCTTTTCACAAACTAAGCTGCCCGCACACCCCAAAATTCCAGATTCTTTCAACAATAAAACTAATTTATATATGGTCAAATGCTAATGAAAAATAACAGGTTTTTAACTGTCATTTGAACTCTATGGGCCCTATCATACACCCGGCGCAGTGTGGCGCAAGGCGTGACGCAGTAGTCTTTTGGTAGTTTAAGCTTGGCGCAAGAGTCGTTTTGAGGCGTTGCGCTACGTTGTTTAAATAGCAAATGCATTAGCACTCATTTGTGCGCCCATAGGCGTTCTGGTCTAAAAAGGAAGGCGTTCTGAGGCGGACCGCTGGCGCGTTGCTATTTTGAGAAACTATAATAGATTTTTCATTAGACCAAAACTAACCCGGTCTAAACTCCGGCGCAGAGTTGCGCCTCGCTTACGCACTGCTTAATACGCACAAGAGAGCAATAGGCAAATATCTTTACATATGACAAATTGTAAATATTAAGGATATATATATAGGATATAATAAGAATAGATATAGGATATAAATATAAAGGATTAAAGTATTACAAAACATTTTATTTTCTAGCCTACATAAATATGAAAAATCACTGCTTTTATGTCTTCATCTCGGGAGGCTTTTTCAGTTCATTCATAACAATTTGCTTTTGTATAATGTTATTATTATTAGCAGTATTATTTATTATATCCATATGTATATTTGTTTTTATTAAAAACGAGCTTAGATTTGCCCACCTGTCAGGTTTTAGACCATATGGGGCAAAGCATGTGTTTTAGGATATAACTGAGGTTTTTTAGCACATTTTGTTATTATTATTCATTTATTCGTTTGCTGTAAATTAGAACTGAATTTAGAAATAGTTTTGAAACGAATATTTGCGCTTAACAAACAAAAGTATCTATTTATAGACTAATTGATGTCTGTGCATAAAGGTTTCCCTATCCAAGAGCGAAAGTGAAAGTGATCCATTATCTCTCATTCTCATGCAGTAGATGCTCTGTTTAACAGTTTTCTGTTAAAAAACTGTTAACTGTTAACTGTGTGCTTGTGAAATGCTCATTTTTTCCACTTAGACTTACTTTGCGTCCTGTAAATAGCGAATGCGCTCTTGGCGCGACGCAGCTGACTCTTAAAGGGAATGGGAGATGAGACTCTAATTGGTTTATTCTCAAAACACATCTATAACTCATTAAGAAAATAAACTCAACCCTTTTAGACCATGCGCCGAAGCGCAAGGCAGATTTCCCGTCCTTAAATTAGCAAAAACGCGTCCTGACACGCCCTGAAAGCATTTGCGCCCTGCGTTTTGCGCTTTGCGCATGGACCGTCAAAATAGAGCCCTAAGAGTCGAGCATTGTCTGAGTAACTTTTTAACAACAGCACTGGATTATGAAACAGTCATTAATCATAGTTTCTCATTCATTGAAAGGTCGCTAACATACCGCTGGTCCCTGAGAGCCACGAGGTCCTGGAACTCCTCTGTTGCCCTGCATGCCGCGTGGACCAGCACTACCAGCAGGCCCCTCAATGCCAGGCTGCCCTCGAGCTCCCTGCGGCCCTCTGTTACCCGGATCACCCTGGTTTCCAACCTGAATTTATAACATAGTGGTATGTACAGATCATGCAGTACATTAACATGGACATCAGTCTTCTTCTTCTACTTCTACTTCTTCTACTTCTTCTAATCTACAGAGAGCTGAAACAAAGCCAAGGAAAACTCAAACATATTCGCTTCATGGAAAACATTCATAAATATTCAAGCAAGAACTCACTTCGCCTTTGGCTCCAGATTGTCCGGGGTCACCCTAAGTGCGGGAACAGCGAGAGAATTAAAGTTCACCACAATATTTCAAAGATTTCAGCACACATTGGCATATTGCATTCATATTATTTTCGGCTCTGTATTTCAGAGCTACTCACGACATCTCCCTTGTCTCCTGGTGTTCCCTCTGCACCTTGATCTCCCTATGATAAAACACAGCACCATGAGGGACATCATGTCATGTTTAATATAAAGAACTTCTGTTTTTGTAAAACTTCTAGGAGGAAGAGTTTGGTTCTGAAATTGTGAAGATTGTATGAGCTGCAGTTACTTTAGGCTCTAACTGCAGCTCATTCAATTCTATTTTAGAACCAAACTTTAGATCAGTTACTTGGTGTGATCATTATTTATTGATTATTTTTGTCTAAAATCAAATAAATGTGAGTTATATTATAGATAACTGGGGCTTGAGCTCTTTAATTACTGACATTTTTAAGATGATTTTATTATTAATGGCTGAAAATTGCAAACAATGACTCTTGACAACTGACACTGTTTCAATTTATTATATACTTCTATGTGAAGCTGCTTTGACACAATCTACATTGTAAAAACACTATAGAAATAAAGATGAATTGAACTGAACTGCACTAAAAAATCCTGTATTTACGCTATGTTAGGTCACATATGGACAAAATATTTTTTACATCAAATTTAAATTACAGTTGTTTACTCCAACTGTTGATTTTGTCCATGACCCAACATTGGATTATTACAACTGGTTATATTGAATTTATTTATTTATTTATTTATTTATTTATTTGTTTGTTTGTTTGTTTGTTTGTTTGTTTGTTTGTTTGTTTGTTTGTTTGTTTATTTATTTTATTGGTGCTGCTCCCATGTTGATGAAGTGTGATCAATAGACAATAACACAAACAAGGTTTTGTAACAGTATGTCAATTTTTGGTAAAAAAAAAAAATAATAATAATAATAAAATAAAATAAATAACAGCATTAAATTCATTTTGGCACCATGGCAACAAATTTGAGTTATACTAAAACTATTTGAGATATCAAAAGCTTTTTTGTGACATGTTTATTCAGAATTATCTGGATGAATGTATTTACTAAATGTAATTAAAAGCTAATTTAAAAGAAAAAAAACATTGTAACATGGGTTACAGTCTAAACATGGACTACAAAAATGGACCATAAACAATAATAACAAATCAATAAACTAATAGTTTAACAATTACATGAACAAATGCAAATTTGGAGAGGAAAATAATTATAAAAATGGTCACACTATACAACAAGGTTTCATTAGTCCAGCATTTACTAATGAATTAATAACATTCAAATTCATGCGCTTTGACATTATTAAATGCACTGTGAGTTAACATGAACTAACACTAAACTGTATTTTCATTAACTAATGTTAACTAACGCTAACAAATACTGCAGTAAATGTATTGTTAATTTTTTGTAAATGCATTAACTAACATTAACGAATACAACCTTATTTTAAAGTGAAGTAAAAAAAAAATTATAAAAGGAGAAAAAAAAAATAGATAAAAGAAGAAACAAGAAACCAAAACTTTTGATATCTTGTCAAAACAAAGCGTAACATGCTGCAGTTTAAGAAAACACATGCAATTACAAAAAAATGCCAGCAAATTAAGAAAAGATCTTCATTTGTTGGACAGCGCAAAAGTTATTAAAAACGCACTGCATTTCCTCACAACGTAAAAAAATAACAAAAACACGCTGCATTTTCTCACAACACTCACAAAAAGAACAGAACACTAAAGAAATGTTTCAAGAAGACCCAGAAGCGTGATGAACATCGCTGTGCCATGACTGTTGCTCTGCAGAGCAGTTGTAGGTGATCTTTAAAAGGTAACTTTTTTGTTTGTTTATTTTACATTCTGATTCCCCTTGTCCTTTGTTATTAGCCTAAACTACAATAAACTAAATAGCCGGGTTTGTTACATTTTAGGATCCCCTTAAAACATTTAAGCTGTGTTCCACGCTATTTAAAAGTGTTGTAAGAAAATGAAGCGCGTTTTATTAATTTGTTAGCGTTGCGAGAAAATGCAGTATGTTTTATTTATTTGCAGCATGTTTTTTTTTTTTTAATGTATTTATGTTGTGAGAATTTGCTAAATGTGTGCTGTCAAACGGATGAAGATCTTTTCTTGATTTGCTAGTGTTTTTTGTAATTGCAAGTGCTTTCTGAAATTGCAGCATATTAGGCTCTTTAATTAATCATTTTGTCTCGATTAATGTTTTTTCATAATCGCTAGAAGCCGAAATCAAAACTGAATTTTCTATTAATTGCACAGCCATGAACTGGTACAGATATTATTGGCATTACACAAGGAATCATGACAAAAGAAAGAAAAAGCTACTTTTTTAAAGCTAATTTTTAAAATTAATTATAACTTCTAAAATCACAAATATCTGAAAACTTTAAAGCATGAAATGGAGACGTATGATTTCGTAAAGATATAAAATATGCAATTTTAAAATCTAAAATACTAAACTGGCATGCTGTTACAAATCTAAAGCAGTTATGATTTCTGGCTAAACCATTTAGTAGTTATAATCAAAAACTTAATAAAGGTTTCATATTTCCGGACCACATGATGGTGCTGTGACGTGAAGAGTAAATAACATAAATACACTGTTGCTTTTCCTAAATTGGTTTTAGCCTAGTTTTGTCAGATATGGTCAGAAATCTGCAGTGCGGTATCTGATCACAATGTGAGTCACGCTCTTACCGGTTCTCCCTTTGGTCCAGGTTCACCTCCTTCACCCTGTGTAATATCACATAAAGAAATTAATTCCCACGAACATTTAACTCAAAGCATGTGTTGTGTTTAAAGAGTTCTTTATAACAACAGTTATCCAGTAATGTATGCTCAGCACTTTGTTCTTTCTATAAATCCTAAATGAGTTTGAAGTGCTCAAGTTTTTGTTTTTATCCAAATGCATTAAGGAAAGCGTTGAGTTTAAAAGGAACCAATTTGACTTTCAAAAAGCTCATTGTACTTTCAAAGCTTTTTAAAACACCAGCGGGAGCGCATAATAATTGCAATGCCTTAAAGGTTGAAAAAAGTGAAACCCTAATTGAGTAAGAACAGGGAATATCAAGAGAGTTAGCTTTTAAAGCGCTGCAGATGACTTTTTATTATAGTGACAGTGATGCTGAGGTAGCAGAACTCAAAGTACTGTTTGCTCTTCCTTTATAAATATAGAGTTAAAAATAGAAGAAGTTTGATCAACTAAAAATGTGTGATAAACTTGTTTTATTTTCTTTATGTGTATTAAAATAGTATGTTTAAGCAGTCTGTGTTTTAAATGGTTGCATCTTGTGACACCATGTGCTGTTTGACTCTTGTCCATATTTTCAGTCAAATTTCATTGGATATTTGAATAGTCAAGTGCAACTACTTTCTCAGTCTTAATTATGTTGTATATTAGATACACGTGCAGTGCAATGTTGACATGCATTAGCCTGCGCATATTTTGATAAGTGCATGATAAAGCATTTAAAATTGATGGCTGTATGTTTTCATTTATCTGCTTTTATAAAGCACTTTTTGTTAGAAATGCATGGTGACCTAAATATTAGTTTAAAACAGCTCTATCCACAATATAATTTCTCACCACAGGAAAGGACACTAAGTGCTGGAGACAATGTGGGTCTCGGGAACCTAATCACTGGTACATTTTTTTGGGATTGTCAAGTAATATAACAATTTTGGGTAGAAGAAGAAGGAGTAATAGAAAACATACCTTAATATTACACTACCCTTTCAATTCCTGTTTTTTTATTTTGAAAGCTCTGCTATCCAAATAAGTAAATCTGAAAAATACTTACTTGATATTTTAATAATTGCAGCCGAAAAAAGCCATTACAAGACACCGGTTACCTGCTGAATCCCCAACAAATGGCTAGAAATAGTATATGATATTATGTGATGGAAAAAATTACATTTTTCCTTCTATTGCACCATCCAATCTTCATAGGAATATAAGAAAATATTACTATTGAATTCCCATACACAGAACAAACATTTTACAATTTACGACCCATAGCACTCCTCTTATTAGATTAGAAATTTACAACTCTGTTATTTTCATATATTTTATTTTATGAAACTTTTGTTTTTATTGTGTTCTGTACTTTATAGTTTGTAAAAACGAGAAATGTTTAGCAATGACAAATGTACACTCTTTTAAGTATATATTGCTACTACACTATAAATCCCAATAAGTTAAGGTGAGGTATTAAGTGAGGTATTTAATTAACTCATTACCTTCAACACTGAGTTTAAAATTATTTTCAAATTCATTTATTCATTCATTCATTTTCTTGTCGGCTTAGTCCCTTTATTAATCTGGGGTCGCCAAAGCGGAATTAACCACCAACTTATCTAGCATATGTTTTACGCAGTGGATGACCTTCCAGCCGCAACCCAACACTGGGAAACCCATACACATTTATTCGCACACACATACACTATAGACAATTTATCCTACCCAATTCACCTGTACTGCATGTCTTTGGACTGTGGGGGAAACTGGAGCACCCGGAGGAAACCCACGCAAACGCAGGGAGAACATGCAAACTCCACACAGAAATGCCAACTGAGCCAGCCGAGGCTCGAGGCTCGAGGCTTCTTGCTGTGACGCGACAGCACTACCTACTGCGCCACTGTGTCACCCCCTTTTCAAATGAGTATAATTAAATTTCAGTAAATTGAGAGTTAACTACACTCATTTTATTTGATAAAGCTGACTGTTGGGTTTTACAGTGTATTAAAAAAAAGAAAAGACGTTAAATATTAGAAATTATATTTGTATAAAATGATATAATAAAATGTCTAACTCCAAAAAAAAGTTCAAAATATAATTTAAAATAAAACTAATACACTTCAAACAAATCTTACTTAGAGTTTGTCTTGTTTCTCGAATTTCTCAAATTTTTTTAATTTTATTTAACTTTATTTTAATGTAATTATATTATTGATAGGGCTAATTTGAATGTATATATAGGTTACAGTGCATTTCTAAAATAAAGTGCTTCATAAAGCAGACTATTAAAAATATATACAGCCAGTGGTTTTACATACCTAATCATGCATTTATCAAAATATGCGTAGGCAAGTTATTATTATTATTATTTTTTTTTTTTTTTTGATCAATTTAAAAAAAGGAATTAACCACTACTTAAGGTTAGGGTGAAATTTCATTCTGATCAGACTCAATTTTATTATTTAAGGCGTTTACATGAACATTATTCAATCCAATTGAACCATGAATCCATTTACAAACGGATTATTTGGGTGAATATAAAGGTAGCCATTGTATGCACAATATCCTCACCCGGTCTCCTTTTATTCCTGGCAGGCCCGGCGGTCCAGGAAGTCCAGGCAAACCCAAGTCACCTTTAGGCCCCTGAAAAGACAGTCAATTTAAGCTGGCATGCAGTCAAGAGTCTGGCATTTACTGTAAGTCTCTGGTTTATCTATTCATATTCATCTATGCAGGATCTCTTTTGTCAACAGAGTGAAAAGTCTACAGAATCCCTCGGTTTCCTTTGCAAAAACACTCTCATGCATTTTTAATAGGGGAGCGCAGTCAGAGGAAATGCGAGACCAGGACAAAAAGGCAAATGCTGATAAATCTAGTGTGTAAAAGTGTACATCAGTGTACACTTTTTTTAACTCAGTTTTTTGCACTGCTGATTTAATCTACACTTTCACAGCAATATACAGATATTGTATACGGTATATGCATGCCTTTATGTTTTGGATGAAATGGAGCCAGTTTAATAATTGAACACATTGGTTTGAATCAGTCACATAAGTATACTCATTTCACAAAATCCTACCAATTTCTGTAGACTCAAATCAGTCACATTTCTGACTTCATGTTAAATTAATCAATAATTAATAATGCTTGCGTGTGTTGCGTGCACATTTATGGCTATATATGTATACAGTTGAACTCTAATTTATAGCCATCCTGTATTACGATTATTATTATTATATATATATATATTTTTTTTTTTTTTCCAAATGATGTTTAAGAGAGGAAGGTATTTTTCACAGTATTTAGTATATTTTTTCATCTGGAGAAAGTCTTGTTTGTTTTATGTCGACTAGAATGAAAGCAATTTGTTTTTTTTTAACCATTTAAGATCAATATTCTTAGCCCTGTTAAGCTACATTTTGTCTGTTGTCTACAGAATAAAACACTGATATACAACGACTTGCCTAATTACCCTTACCTGCCTAATTAACCTAGTTAAGCCTTTAAATATCACTTTAAGCTGAATACTAGTATTTTGAAAAGTATTTAGTAAAAAACTATGCACTGTCATCATGGCGAAGATAAAATAAATCAGTTATTAGATATGAGTTATCAAATGGGGGGTGGGTGGGTGTTTTCTTTTGGGTGGGCTTGAAGAGTTTATTGTTCATTGTAAAAAAAAATTGTAAAGATGCTGTGACCACTCACATGTAAAATCAATAAAAAATGTAATCACAAAAAAAGAAATGAGTTATCACATCTATTATGTTTAGAAATGTGTTGAAAAAATTTTTTTTCCGTTAAACAGAAATTGGGGGGAAAATATACAAGGGGGCTTATAATTAAGGAGGGCAAATAATTCTTACCTTAACTGTATATAGGATATGACTATACATGATAATTATATGCTTTGTACATTATGATTACATATATAGCTAGAGATTTATGTATGTTAAATCTTCTTTTTGGTTTCAGCATCAACATGCAGTTACAAAAGGGGCTTTATGTACATAGAATGAAAATAACATGCAGTTAAAGTGTTACTTTAATGTTTTAAAGGACTTTTGTTGAAAATAAAATGGACTTTTATGTTATGTCAAAATGTCACTTCCAGGGAGAGTGGGAGTTATTGTTTTGTTAGTGAACGGCCATGGTGGTCATGCAATAAAGGAGACGAGTTTAAAACTGTTGTTTTCATTTTAGTAGCGATTATTATATTTTTTTTTCATTAATTATTATCATCAATATATCATTGTTATTCATATGCCTGGCACAATTTTTATTGTATTTATTTTTAATGTAATTATTTGTATCACTATAAGTCATTATTTTATAAACATAAAAACAACAATAAAAAATTACCCTTTTAAAAAAATTATTTATAAAAATCATTACATAATAATTAATAATCATAATTGTATTTTTATCATTAAAACATTCATTTGCAAATAGTTCAAAAACATAAAAATTAACTAGGATGTTAGAGAATTTTTACAGTGGTAAATGTGTAATAGTCATTATTTCTTACTCAATTAAAACATAAAACAACAAACATACATCCAGCAGGATATAACCAAGCAGAATAATTCTATACAATTCATTATTAAATACCAATCTCTGTGTGTGTGTGTGTGTGTGTGTGTGTGTGTGTGTGTGTGTGTGTGTGTGTGTGTGTGTGTGTGTGTGTGTGTGTGTGTGTGTATGTGTATGTGTGTGTGTGTGTGTGTGTGTGTGTGTGTGTGTGTGTGTGTGTGTGTGTGTGTGTGTATATATTTATATACACACACACAGTTGAAGTCAGATTTATTAGCGCCCCTGTTTATTTTTTTCCCAAATTTCTGTTTAATGGAGGGAAAATTGTTTCAGCACATTTTTAGGCATAATAGTTTTAAAAACCTATTTGTAATAACTGATTTATTTTATCTTTGCCATGATAACAGTAAATAATATTTTACTTGATATTTTTCAAGACACTTCTATAAAGTTTAAAGTGACATTTAAAGGCTTAACTAGGTTAATAAGGTGAGCTAGGCAGGTTAGGGTAATTAGTCAAGTAATTGTATAGCGATGGTTTGTTCTATAGACTATCGAAAAAATTGGCTTAAAGGGGCTAATAATTTTGTCCCAAAATAGTTTTTTTTTTAATTTAAAGCTGCTTTTATTCTATCCAAAATAAAACAAATAAGACTTCCTCCAGAAAAAAAATATATTATCAGACATACTGTGAAAATTTCCTTGCTCTGATAAACATCATTTGGGAAATATTAAAAAAAGAAAAAAAAAATCAAAAGGGGGCTAATAATTCTGACTTTAACTGTATGTATATATATATATATATATATATATATATATATATATTTAATATAAACTTCAAAACCTGAATAAATAAATGTAAATTGTTGGAAAAAAGGAATATATATTTTAATATTTTTGTCTTCGTTTCTTTTCATTTAACAATTGTATTTGTATTTCTTAAAGGTGATATATTAACTAAACATATTAACTATGTTTTGCATACTAATCAAGCAATTTTGCAGAAGTAGATGAAGCTGATAAAAATGCAAAGGCCTGATTGTATAAAATTAACTTGAGCTCTGCAGCTAAAATTCCTGTGAGCACAGAATCTGTAGTTGAGAAGTCTTTGGACTTTGTGCAGAGAATTAGTAGAAAAAGAGGATGTATGTATGGGTGCGGCCAATAGAGGACTGGAATGAATGAATGACAAATGACAAATTCCACTAAACTCCACCTGTTAATATCAATATTCACATTATCATTCATGTTCAAGCCAGTGTGTTAGTGTGTGTTCGTGTGTGCAGATAAGTGTGTGCTGATGGGAATGGCAGGAGAACAGAGGACTCATTGAGAGACACTGCTGTGAGACATTCTTTTGACTGTTGATTCTTTCCTATGAAAACAGAGCAGTAAAGTCCCATTCAAAAAACAGTGAGAGAGAGAAACCGCTGGCTCCATTCTCATCCACAGCCCTGCAGTGTGTGTGTATTTCAATACTGTGAAGATTTGCCTGGGTTTGACCCTGGCATTAGCATAATATAAAGTCATGAATTCCCCTAAAAGACTATTAGTGCAAAGTTTTTTGAATTCACTGCGCACCAAGCCGTCTAAATAAGTAAAAGCAGTTGAGTTTAGTGGATGTCAAGATGGCTTGCTTTCTCTTTGAACACTGGGATAATGGAATAATTTAAATGTAGTGCTGCCTATGACTTGTTTTGAACTCTGGGTTTGCTGCCAGCTCATAGAGGAAAAAAAAGAGATCTCTTTACTGTCAGGCGTTTCTTCTACACTAAAATCACTAAAGCATTTTCTTGGTTGGTGTGTTTGTCTCATTTTCCAGTAGCTACATAGCTAAAGGTTCAGAAAACAAGATGAGAAGTACAACAACATTTTTGTCTTAAAAAAAATAAAAGGTTATTAAATAGTTTATTTTGTGCTTAAAATAATCATTTTCAAATTGTGTGGAAAAGAAACATTTTGATGTAAAAAAAAACATGCGTTTGAGGGCAAAATTAATAGCCCCCCTGTGAAATTGTAATTATCTTTCTAATATTTCCCAAGTGATGTTTAACAGAGCAAGGAATATTTTGACAGTATTTTCTATAATAAATTTCCTTTTGGAGAAAGTTTTTTTTTTCTTTTAGTTTGGCTGGAATAAAAGCAGCTTTTTATTTTTATTTTTTTATTTTTACTATTTTTAAGGCCAATATTATGAGCCCCCTTACAAAATATTTTGTCTATACTGTCTATAGAAAAAAATGCAGTTATCTAATAAGTTACATCATTAACTTAAATTGACTAGTTAACCTAATTAGAATTAATTAAATTAAACCTAATTAACCTAGTTAAACCTTTACAATGTACTTCAAGTTGTATTCTAGTATCTTGCAAAACATCTAGTAAAATAATATGCACTGCCATTAAAAGAAATTAGTTATTAAACTATTATGTTAAAGAAAACCTTCTCTCTGTTTCTCTTTATTTTGAAAAGAATTAAAATATAACAGGAGAGTTAGTAATTGTCACTTTAACTGTATGTTGAATAAACTATTTTATTAATAAAATTGGAAAAACCTTTTGAAGATTTGTTTTACATTACAGCTGCTTTTCTTAACAAAGATGTATATAATACATATATACAACATGTATATAATGTAAAATATCATATATAGTATGTGACCATGGACCACAAAACAAGTCAATTATTTGAAAATATGCGCAAAATGTTGAAAATTCCTCAAAAACACAGTCGTGCTACATTGACTGTATATCTCTATTCTCATCTCGTATGTCAACATTTGTTGTAATCCGTGTCTGTTTTCATATCTATATTAGGAAAAACATTTCAAAGAGTCTTCAAATTTAACTATGTTTCCTAAATTAGGTTCTTAGCAATGCTCATGACTACTCAAAAACTAAGTTTTGATATATTTATGGTAGGGTAATTTTAAAAATGATCTTTACTTAATTTTCTAAGGATTTTTTCATTTTGACCCACACAACATATTTTCAGCTATTTCCAAAAATAAACTTGCGCAACGTAAGACACAATATGAACTCAAATCATTCTCATTCAACTATTTTAGGAGGAAATAAATTGATCTATACTATCTACATCCACGACATATCTCTATTCTGGTCTCATATGTCTACATTTGTTGTCATCTGTGTCTTTTTTTTTTTATCTTTATTAGGAGAAAAATCTCAGAGAGGTTTCAATGTTAACTATGTTTCCAAATGAAGTTCTTAGCAATGCTTATGACTACTCAAAAATCAGTTTTGATAAATTTATGGTAGGGAATTTTAAAAAAGAATCTCTACTTAATATTCTAAGGGTTTTTTATTTTTATTTTATTTTGAACCATAAAACGTATTTTCGGCTATTCCCCAAAATACACTTGTCCAACATAAGACTCGATATGAACTCAAATCATTCTCATTCAACTATTTCAAGAAGCAAATAGAATGATCTATACTATCTACATTCACTGTATACCGCTACGTTTGTTTTAATGCATGTCTGTTTTCATTTCTATGTTAGGAAAAACATCCCAGAGTGGCTTCATATGTTTGCTGGCCCTTAAAAGGTGACCCGAGGACCCTCATCTCTTACAGGCAAAGCTTTTCACATCATTCAGTAATTTCTATGATGAAAGTAAAGTACAGCAGATGCTTGCTTTGATTCTGAAACCATCTCATTATACAGATTATGCACATACTCTGGCTCCTGGTTTCCCCATCGGTCCAACGGGTCCCTGTTCTCCGCGGTCTCCCTAAACACAAATAAACCATCATTACCTTCTAGATACTCTTAGGTGAGTAAATATAGACACTTTCGACCTGTGCATTAGCCATTAGTCATGCTGTATTGAGGACTTACAGCTAGTCCAATAGGCCCAATGGGTCCGAGTTCTCCTTGTTCTCCACGTTCACCCTGAATAGAGATATTTATTTACTACAAATCATCTGTTCATGAACATGTATGGTCAAGATTTAGACCATTTACTTACTTGTTTGCCTGAAGATCCCATAGTGCCAATAAGGCCTGGTTGTCCAGCGTTACCCTGTCATTGGAAGAAGTATGGTATATACCATTGGTTACCACCTCACAAAATCATTGTCTCTCCAAGAACCACCATAATGACCAGTACTGAAATACATGAGCGTAGTAGGCCTATTTAAGAAGCTACAGCTCTGTACAGTTACAAAAAGGAGGCAGAGTAATTCTATTATTTATAATATTTTTAATTGTTAGCAACTTTAAACATTATAAACAGTTTGAACATTTACAATGTACTGTGCTCATAGGAAATAAATTAAAAATAAAATGTCAACATTTAAATTAAAAGTTCATTAAAAATGGTAGGCTACTGTTCTTAAAAAGTAAAAAGAAAACTTCTGTACTTAAATGTGAAGTAGTAACAAATTGTAACCTATTCATCAAAACCTAGAACCAAGACCTAATAAATATAAGACAGAGGTCATCATATTCATACCACACTTTGAGAACCACTGGTATATGCTGTTTTTGATGTCATATAAAGCAGTATACGATTGCATGCAAGATAGATGTTGTTAGTATTTTTTGATTTGCTATTGGATGTGGTTTGAATAAAATGTTAATATTGATTTTATTCTATAATGGTATGACGATATTTCTTCCAAATTTCAAATAAAAATACAAATTTAGTCTATTTTATTCATGACGTTGGTCTAAATGACAAATGTTAAATCAGATAAAATAAATGTTTATTAACTCTTACATTACATAATCTAAAAATGTATACACACATTTTATTTGTTATTATTTTATGCAAAATGCTTGAAGTTACATTTTATTTTACATTTGGAGGATATGTTATTAGTGATTTAATGTGGAATTTTAAAATGTTTTACTTACACCCATAACTATATATATATATATATATATATATATATATATATATATATATATATATATATATATATATATATGCATATTTTTATTTATTTAAAAAAAAATGAAATGGCCCAAAAATTTACTCCAAATTTTTAAAGATTGTAATGTTGCTTGAATTTTATGTCCATTAGTCCAATCAACTTGGACATTATAAATGGATTTAAAAATATATTTTAAAAATGGACTCTAAAAATAAGTTTTATTAAGTATTATAATGTATTTATAACTAAACCAAAGTAAAAATATTGGTAAAAAAAAAAAAAAAAAAAAAAATATATATATATATATATATATATATATATATATATATATATATATATATATATATATATATATTTGTTTTGTTTTTTTGTTTGTTTTTTTGTTGTTTTTCCCTACACTTTAGTGTCATTGGTCATAATAATCATTTATATGATAAAATAACACTCGGAAATGTAATCCTTAGCTAATTTCATATTTCTAATGCCTAAATTCCCATATATATTTTTGTATCATTTAATTTGTATGTATTGAATATTTTACATAGAAAACATTAATATTGCTTTTATTGTATTATCTGTATCAGATGGAATTTTAATATTTTCACAGTTCTAAAAGAAATTCACAAATAGGTTAAATCTTAGTTATAAAATAGTTTAAATTAAGCTTCATTTTTAGAGTACAAGCCCAACAAAGTATAGCTGTCATCCAATTAGATGTATAAAAATATCTTAATGGTTCTATATAATTAAAAAAAAGTTGCTAAGTCTGAGGAAAAGAAAACTTTTTCTTTTCTTTCTTTTTTTATCTCTTCTTTTTTTGCGTCACTGACCTGATAAAAGCTTTGTCAGTTCAGGGTGTTAAAAACATGATGACTTTGCACACTGATAAATTCATCTCTCACCTTCTCTCCTCCTCCACCTTTTGGTCCTGGGATTCCTGGTAAACCCTGCAGACACGGAAGAGAAAGTCACTAAATATCAAAGTAGCAGCTGCATCTCCCGAAGAAAGAAAAATGCCTTTAATTCATTCTAAAAGATCAAAGTCAAATCCAAAGGGCTGTACTTGAACCATCTCAAAATTAATGATGACATGAAATAGTGATGAAGAGCAGACATCACGCTGGATAAAGTCAGAGGTGTTTCATAATCTTGCCCTGCCATGAAATGGAGCGGACACAACATGCACAAATTGGAAATCGAAGTAAATTATTGATTTTCTTTTTTTTTTTTTTTTTTTTACCATCTGCTACGGTAAGCTATTAGCTTCATGGCTTTAAAGGAGAAAGGTTAAACATAACATTACTGTATAACAAAAAGGTCAGAAATTCAGCAGTGCATGACTGGCAGATATAAAAGAGAAACAAATACTCTTAATCAAAGTATTGGAAAGTGTGATTTCTTCTGCTCACCAAATGATACAGTTTTGAGTCAGAATAAATCCATTAGTCATTCATTCATTCATTTTCCTTCAACTTAGTCCCTTATTTATCAGGGGTTACCACAGTGGCATGAACTGCTAACTATGTATTCCGTCACATGTTTTATGCAGTGGATTCTCTTCCAGCCGCAACCCAGTACTGGTAGACACCTATACACTCTTTCATTCACACACACTTTCACAGCCAATTTAGATTCACCTATACCGCATGCTTTTGGACTGTGTGAGAAATCAAAGCACCGGGGAGGAAAACCAGGCAAACACGGGGAGAACAAACTCCACACAGAAATACCAAATGGCCCAGCCGGGGTTCGAACCAGTGACCTACCTGCTGTGAGACGACAGTGCTAGCCACAGAGCCACTGCGCCACATACATCATTCATTCATTCATTCATTCATTCATTCATTCATTCATTCATTCATTCATTTTCTTGTCAGCTTAGTCCCTTTATTAATCTGGGGTTGCCACAGTGGAATGAACCGCCAACTTATCCAGCTAGTATTTACGCAGCGGATGCCCTTCCAGCCGCAACCCATCTCTGGGAAACATCCACACACACTCATACACTACGGACAATTCACCTGTAACGCATGTGTACCAGCAACCTTCTTGCTGTGAGGCGAACGTGCCACCCACTGCACCACTGCATCGCCCCATACATTAATCAGTAATTTAAAAATCTATTAATGATAAGTTATATCATATTACGATAATATTTTTTATAGTTTAATATTATAATAAAACATACATTTTGTGACCAGAAAAAATATGGACAGTCCTCATTGCAAGTCCTAATTGCATATATTTACTTGTTTGTCGCTGCATTTATTTCATCAGAAAAATAGAACAAAAAGTATAAAGCTAAATATAATTTCACTTTTAAATAACTATTTTCGAGCCATGGCTGGGTCAGTTAGCATTTCTGTGTGAAGTTTGCATGTTCTCCCTGTGTTCGCGTGGGTTTCCTCCGGGTGCTCCGGTTTCCCCCACAGTCCAAAGATATGTGGTATAGGTGAACTGAATAAACTAAATTGGCCATAGTGTATGTGTATGAATGAGTCTGTATGGGTGTTTCCCAGTGATGGGTTGCAGCTGAAATGGTGTCTGATGTGTAAAACGTATGCTGGATAAGTTAGCGGTTCATTCCACTGTGGTGACCCCTGATTAATAAAGAGACTAAGCCGACAGGAAAATGAAGGAATGAATAACTATTTTCAATTTAAATACATTTAAAAATGTTATTTATTTTCGGTACAGTAAAGCGGAATTATTTTCTTATTATCATTAGTCTTCAGTGTCACATGATCCTTCAGAAATCATTCTAATATTTCTAAAATATATTGTTCAATCCAGGTAGATATTCAGAATGGTTTTGTGTGTTGTTGTATAGACACTTTTTTTGATTTTTAACAAATCTTTCATATATTAAATGCATTTTTTCCACATTAAGAGACAGATTTATTCAACATATTGTCAACCCCTTAACTATTTAGATGTGTTAAATTCAGGTATGTTCAATTCAACATCTAGAGCTTTCCTCGTATGTATTTTGTGTTTTCACTTGTCACTTTATGTACACTCATGGCTTAATTTGTGCCGGAACACTCCGGATCCGGCACCTCTGAAACCTGATCTGGCACCTTATTTTACGGCTTTCACTACCTTCACTTTCGTCCTTCATCCACGACACCCCTCCACCACCCAACGCCACCCCCCGCTCTCCACTTTTGTGCGAAACACCTCTACATCCTTGGGTAACATGCTGAATTCGCTACCCCGATCTGTTCCGGGACCTCGCAATTTACAAATTAAGCGCTGTGTACACTGGAAGCTTCTGTAGTCAAATCAAATTCTTGTGTGTGTAAAGCACACTAGGCAATAAAACCGATTATAATTCAGAATTATTTTCGGTTTGAATTTACTAAAAACTTAAGCTGCTACTTACAATGGAAATATTAAAAAACTTTTGGGTGCCACAATATAATGGCGCAAAGACTGTACTGATATACTCTATAAGGGGTTCTTAATCTCAGTCCAGGATGTCCTGCAGATTTTGTCTTCAATGCCAATCAGACACACCTAAAATAGCTAATCAAGCGCTTACTAAACTTTCTAAATACATTCCTGCAGGTGTGTTGAGGCAAGTTGGAGCTTAAAACCGCAAGACACTGGACCTCCAGGACAGAGTTTGAGAATCCCTGCTCTATACTGACGACCTCAAACTCTAATAAATGCTGTGTGATTCTTTTAAGCTCTTATAAAGTGTCAACATCTTTTGGTGTTTTTTCACTGCATGTAAATCCTAAAGTATTTTTTATTACCAAAATCTTTTAAAGTAAATCAGTCGCTAAGACTTACAGGCAGTCCTTGAAGGCCAATTTCCCCGGGGCTTCCAGCTTTTCCTTTGTCGCCCTGTAAAATATCCACATATGTATTATTACCATACTCTCTACATGCCAATGGTTAAACAATAAAAGCCTAAATCTGCTGTACCTTGGCACCTGGCATGCCAGGGATTCCCTCACGTCCGTCCACTCCTGGCAAACCCTAAGAAAACACACAGATTGGTGCTGTTAGGATGTTTGAAAAGGTCATAAGCCCAACATTTTTATCCACGCTTACAAAGAATATAAAAAAACACCTACACCTTCTGCTACATTTTTTTTTAACATGAAACAATCACTGTACCATGGAACCAGCAACATATCACATTTACAATTGAAATGTGGTAAACTACATACGCCATCTCCTTTTGGCCCTGGAAGACCAGTGTTGCCTCTTGGCCCTTGAGGTCCCTTCAGAAAAAGAAAAAAAAATCAGTAAAGTAGTCACTAATAGTCAAAGAAATCATGTTCCTGGACCCCTATCGTTTGAGCAGCTTCTCAAAGGCTAAATACTGAACAAAACCCAGCTTGTACTGTGTTCATTTTTGCTGTCATGATGTTTGTACACTTGCCTGTTCTCCTTTAGGACCGGTTTCCCCCACTCCTCCGCGTTGTCCTCGATCCCCCTGGATAAAAAAAGAAAGGCACATCTGAGATTTCTGACATTGATTTGTTTACACCCAAGGCTCAGTATATCAGCTTGGAAGTCATGCCCACTGCTGAAACAGAGCCACTTCAAAGCTTTCCGCAGTGAATATGAGGTAAAGCTTTCCTATTGCAAGGTTAGTTTTAGATTAGATAAGAAGTTGCAGAACTTACCGCAGCCCCTGCAACACCTTGAGGGCCCGGGTCACCATCAACACCCCGAGGCCCCTGAAAAAAATAAATAAATAAAAAAATTATATATATATATATATATATATATATATATATATATATATATATATATATATATATATATATATATATATATATATATATATATATTATTTTGTGGTGTATTTCAGTGTTTGGTTGCAGTGTGCAGCATACCTTCTATGTACAAGTTTTATTTGGGGGGGACGGTTGGGTCATGTTTACACAAAAATTTACAATACAGATGCACAGATGTATCGGCAGCCAATTTATGTGCAAACATATGACCTAGTCCTGGGACACATATATACTCTGCATATTAAAAAAAGGAAAAAGAACAGGTCCCAGCCTCCTGTTTTATTACCGTTTCTCCTTTTGCTCCAATCATTCCGGTAGCACCTCGAATTCCCTGTGGTCCCTGAGAGCACATCATTGAGACAAGGCTTTAAGACACTGGATCAAGAAATAGGCACTGGACTGATTTATTCATTTAGTGTCGATTGCTGGAATAAACAGAAAATCACGTACAGTAGGGCCTTGAGCTCCGACCTCTCCAGAGGCTCCCTGATCCCCTTCCTCTCCCTAAAAAGATCAAGATAAAACTCCTTTACATACAGGGAAAATACTAATACCAAGCACAGACTTGGTTGTTGGATGGATGGATGGATGGATGGGTGGGTGGGTGGATGGATGGATGGATGGATGGATGGATGGATGGATGGGTGGGTGGGTTGATGGATGGATGGATGGATGGATGGATGGATGGATGGATGGATGGATGGATGGATGGATGGATGGATGGATAGATAGATAGATAGATAGATAGATAGATAGATAGATAGATAGATAGATAGATAGATAGATAGATAGATAGATAGATAGATAGATAGATAGATAGATAGATAGATAGATAGATAGATAGATAGATAGATAGATAGATAGATAGATAGATAGATAGATATTCAGATGTATAAACAGAAAGATTGATAGATAGGCAGATGAATAGAGAGACAAATAATAGTATAAAGATAGACAGACAGACATAAATAAATAAATTATATTGATAGACACACAGACAGAAATAATATAGATAGACAGACAGATAGACAAATAGATTGACAGAAAGATAGATAGACAGACAGAAATATTATAGCTAGGCAGACATAAATAAAAATATAGATAGACAGACAGATATACAGACAGAAGTAATATAGGCAGACATATATTTTATAGATAAAAATATTGATAAATAGACAAATAATATAGAGAGATAGAGATACATAATATAGAAAGACAGATAGAGATAAATAATATAGACACAGGAATAAATAATAGATAGACAGACAGAAAGACATAGATAATATAGATTACTTAGACGGACGGACAGACAGACAAACAGATAAATAGACAGACATTTGGACAGATTGATAGACAGAAATAATATAGATAGACAGATAGACATAAATACATGGATAGACAGACAGACAGACAGACAGACAGACAGACAGACAGACAGACAGACAGACAGATAGATAGATAGATAGATAGATAGATAGATATATATATATATATATATATATATATATATATATATATATATATATATATATATGTATATATATATATATATAGACATACAAGCAGAAGTCATAGGTAGGTCGATAGGCTTATTATGTATATATGGATGGATGGATGGATGGATGGATGGATGGATGGATGGATGGAGACAGACAGACAGACAGTCAGACAGATGGACAATATAGACAGACAGACAATATAGACAGACAGACAGACAATCAGATAAATATATAGACATCTGGACAGATTGATAGATAGACAGACAGAAATAATATAGATAGACAGATGGACATAGATGGATAGACAGACAGACAGACAGACAGACAGAGAATATAGACAGATAAATAATATAGACAGATAGTACTATAGACACATAATAATAAATAATATAGAGAGACAGACAGACATAAATAATACAGGTAGACATACAGACAAACAGAAGTCATATAGGTAGGTAGATAGACAGATGTATGGATGGATGGATAGAGACAGACAGACAAGACAAATATTATAGACAGACAGATAGATAGATAGATTGATAGACTGACAAGTGGGTAGGTTGGTAGACAGACAGACAGGAATAATATAGATAGACAGACTCAAAAAAGTTCTAAATGTCTTGTATTTAATATAATGGAGTTCTGAATCAAATGTACTGCAGTTGTGATTGAGGTAAATGATGTGTGAATGTGCTGATTCTGAGTGAAGCATCTCGAGGACATTACAGCAGGCAGACACCAGCAAACTAAATGTCACCACTTTAACTTATTCTTACAACTCTCGGATCGCTCATTATTCTTCATGCGCCAGTGGAGTGTAATTCTTCTACCCAACTTTAATAGACAGCATTTAAATACATCCTCCATGTTCATTCAGCTCGAGTGCCGGTCCTTAATTATAAATGAAGCCCTGTAATAATCTCCAAAATGTCACAGTCTGAGAAAAACTGTCTCAAACATGATGTTTTCTCATTAAAACAAGACCTAGTGCTTCATTTATATTCAAATTCACTTTGGAGAACTTCTCAACCCATGCTGACCTCAAACACACACACACACACACACACACACACATGCACCCACACAGACCTACCTTTTTAGCATAATTATATAATACTTTGTGTTTGTAATATAAAGTTCATACCTTGTGTCCTTGTTTTCCAGGCTCTCCAGATTCTCCTTTCACACCTTTATGACCCTGATAATGGACAGAAGGAAAGTTTATACTTGCATTTAATTATATATATATATATAGTTGAAGTCAGAATTATTAGCCCCCCATACAATTTTTATTTTATTTTTTTTATTTCTAAATATTTCCCAAATGATGTTAAACAAGGAAATTTTCACAGTATGACTGATAATATGTTATCTTCTGAAGAAAGTCTTATTTGTTTTATTTCAGCTAGAAGAAAAGCAGTTTTTAAATTTTAAAACCATTTTAAGGTTAAAATTATTAGCCCCTTTAAGCTATATTTTTTCGACTGTCTGCAGAATGAACCATCGTTATACAATAACTTACCTAATTACCCTAACCTGCATAGTTAACCTAGTTAAGCCTTTAAATGTCACTTTAAGCTGTATAGAAATGTCTTGAAAAATATCAAGTCAAATATTATTTACTGTCATCATGGCAAAGAAAAATTAAAATGTGTGGAAAATCTTCACTCTGTATACACACACACACACACACACACACACACACACATACACATATACACACACATACATACGAGTATGGATGTTGGTGCAGGGAAAAGAATGTCTCATTTCAGTGTTTGCCTTAAATTTAACAAACAACAGGGATTTGAAATACATAAAAAAAATTTAAAGAATCTACTTTAATGTTGTTTTATTATTTTAGTTAAAGTAAAATGTTAAATTTGCATAAAATAATGTACTATCCTCATTCCCTATAACCAAACATTCATGTAAAAATGAAACCACTTACTCATTTGGCCCATAATTCCTAACATGCGAAAAGCAATAATACTACATTTTATTATATTTTAAATTATTAAAAACTAACAAATGTGCAAAAGCTAGTACTCTGGATATTGAAAAATAGTGTAGTATGCTATAGTGTAGTATGAAAAATAGTATGCTGATATAGTCTTATATACATTTCATCAATTTAATTTTCTTTACATTTTTCTTATTTATGATCATTTATGATCTTACTGATACATTTGTTTTGGTTCCTGTCCACAGGAGAACTCACCTTCATCCCAGGCAATCCTGGATGGCCAGGTGCTCCCGGTGGGCATGCATTAGGGCACTAAACATAAGGTAAAATAAAAGTCAGATTATTCATTCAATTCAATCAAACCATAACTAATAGCCATCCTAATGTTAACAATATGTCTTTTACATGATTTTCAACAAAATCTTTATGATAGAGCACCAAATAAAATGTCCTCTTACCAGTTCCATAGATCCACCCAACATCCCTGCAGCTCCCTGTAAACACAAAAAAATTTATATTATTTTTATCGAGTTTGAATCTGATGTTGGGGAAGCTAATTAGTCACTTAAGAAAGTAGTTGTGTCTTAATTATAATTGCTGCTCTGAGAGATGTTCCAAATTAAAAACGTTGATTAGGTATAAGAGTAATGTTGGATTGACAAATGCATATTTCTGAGGCTTAAAGGAGTAGTTCACATCCAGAATGATTAATCACCAGACATTTCTAGTTTATGGTCACCATTGAATTTTTTTCCTACTATGGAAGTAAATGGTGACCGTTAAGTATTTGGATTTTTTTATCAGTGATACTCACTCTGGGCCCTGTTGGTCCTCTGGGTCCCTGTGGTCCTCTCACACCCATGGCTCCCTGTTTTGCAAAATAGAAATCAATTAAGCATTCATAAAGTTGCTTATTTTTTAGATAGATTTACAAAACGGTAAAACTTAGAGAAAGACTGCAGCAATAGTTAACCATGAAACACAAATAATAATAAAAAAAACTTAACAGAGTCCAAATAAAAAAGGCTGTGTCCCAATCACCAGCCATTTAACCCTTATAGATCGCTGGAAACTCACAGATCACATAGAACTACCTATCCGCCGGTATATGGACTAGAAGATCCAGTCATGCACCACACACACACACACCTGTTCCGGTTTCCCACTGATTGCTAACACACAGCTGAAGCTGTTCAGAACTGATTATATGGACTTTAAAAGTAGCACAGAAACACACACCAGGAGCTTCATGTATCAACCCTGCATGCGCACGAAAACTTTGCGTATGCCAGGTTTCACGCTCACGTTTGGATTTACTAACAATGAAATGAACATGAGAATGTGTGTTTGTTCATGCCAACTTCATGTCTGGCGTACGTGCATTTCTTGTGTGTTTGTTTTGTTTCCGTTGGCGACTCCTAGAGGCAGTTGTGTTAAATTGCACACTACAATGTATCTGAGCCGTGCAATGGCAGCTGTATGGGACGGGATCATCCGCATGTCTAGCAGGTATATAAGGTTTCCATATCATGCAGTTTACCAGCCAAACATTGAAGCGCAATTTGCAGCGATCGCCAGTTTTTCCAATGTAATCGGAGTGATCGACTGCATGCACATTGCTATAAAGGCGCCATCTAAAGACATATTTGCATGTGTAAATCGGAAACATTTCCATTCAATAAATGTGCAAAAAATATGTGATGCTCAAATGCGCTTAACATAAAACACACACTTATTAATGATTCCTACTTGTCTTCCTCGTGATGAAGAGTAGACAAAATCTGATATGTAATGAATAAAAAAAAGAATGAGTTCATCAGACGCTGGATTCGAACCAGGTTCATAATTGATCGTGTCAAAACATGTTTCCATGCACTTTACGAGCTATGCCACTCATGCTGCTGTTTGCCACTCTCTTCAATTATCTTGTCTCTGTCAATCAAATGGTGATGGAAGGGAATCACTCAACTAGCTCATTCCAACGAGGTGTGCTATTTGCACTTAGCCTAAATAGACACTACAAAATTTTACACCTTTACATCGGACCATGTCTTTTTTAATTCACTCACAGCGCGATGTTCAGACCCCACTGCATTAACCGCGTCAGCTAAACTCTCCCACTCTATTTTTCTTTTTTTTGTTATTAATTCCAGAGGACAAACTTGCAAATAACATCATTTTTTTCTGAAAGGAGCACCTCCAATTCATATTCTGTTCAAAGTTTCTCTTTTTGCCTGCTTTTGCCATTGCTTTTTTATTTGGTTTTGCCAAAGTAGAGTCATTACCATATTTATTAGGGGGATGAGGCAGGGAAAGGTTTTGCGCTCATGCACGTGCGCAAATTTTCACGTTAATTTGGATGTACAAAGAGAATATGCATGGGATTCTGAGTACGCACTGTTTAATACTTCAGATTTTTTTACTGCGTACGCATATTTACAGCTTTGTGCATACGCAATGTTTTAGTATAAATTCAACGCAAGTCTTCGTACATGACGCTCCAGGTGTTGAGTCTTGTTTTACAGTTTTGTGACATTCTGACGCATTTTCCATGCCTTGCTTTGCCGTGTTTTTGACCCCCACCTTGTTTGTTTGTTTTTGTTGTCTGCTGCCTGCCTGTACTGACCTACTGTCTGTGTTTTTGACTTCAACTCTGGTTTTGCCTGCATACATCTGTTTACTCCTTTGTTGACTGTTACTTGCCTGATCATTCTCTGCATAATAAACCCTGCATTTGGATTCGAACTCTGTTGTCAGCGTCCCCACTTCACATTACAGAAGACTCAGCCATGAGAGTTTCAAAGTGAGCCATATATATGTGTGGTGAAATCAGTACATGAGCAGCATCAGCTCTGTAAGTGTATTCAAAGGAGACTTGGAACAGGTGTGAGTGTGTGGTGCATGACTGGAACTTTTGGTCCATGTAATGGTGGATTTGAAGTCTGTTGCGTTCTGCGTGTTTACCTGCAATCTGCAGCCACTCGATCACTGGTGATCATAACAGGCTGACATAATGGACTTTATTGTATTAAAAAAGCAGAAGCTCAAAGTCCTCAAAATGAACTCTGATGATTATTCTGAAGATTTAAATTGTAATTCCATACAATAATTTATATTATATATAATTTCTATTACATATTTTTTGTATTATATATAATTTCTCGTAAAAAAAAAAAAAGAATTTTCCTCCAAATGGTCATAAACATATTTGATTCCTATTTCATCCAAAAATCTAAAGAAAGGATTATTAAGTAAATTAAAGGAAATAAAATAAAAGCAAGGCTAATTTGACTAGTTGGGTACTGTATACTGTAACAAATCACATGTAAGAAACGAGAGTAATTAAGTGTCTGCTTATTATTATTTAACAAAAAATAAATAAATAAAGTTAAAGAGTAACTCACAGGTGGTCCCACTTTTCCCAGCTCTCCCGGAAGTCCTCCTGGTCCTGGTGGGCCCTATAAAAAGCCTTAATTAAGTTTCTTCTTCAAAATAAACACAAAAATAATAAAAAATAAAATGCATTTTCGCATGCTTATATAAAACAAAGGGCACTTACCATTGGTCCATCAGGTCCAACACCCTAAAACAAAGAAAACATACACATTTTGCACATTTTCAATTATTAAGCATTTATAAGGATTTTTCCCATTTCTAATATATCTTAAAGCTAAATAAATAAAAACATTTATAGTTGCAAAAATATTTTCTTTTACTTTTTTCTGCTTTGTGCACTGTGACAAGTTATGTAGCATCAGTGCAGTATCTAGAGATCAGCTTTAGACTTATTTATAGCTAAATTCATCATCTTGATTGTTTTTGTTTTGAATGCAAGGGCTTTAGAGATGTTAAAAGATGACAAAATCTGACTTACCGCCTCTCCTCTGATACCAGGTTTACCAGGTTCTCCCTGTTGCAACAACAATTACACATGTTCTTTTTAGGCTTAACATAAAACAGTTATATATAAAAACAATAAAAAGCTATTGTAGCTTACTTTGCAATGTTCTGTTTGAAATGCAACTTACTCATTCTTTATTTGTACATATTACTTAATGTAGGACTTCATTAAACTTCCTTTTTAAAGTGTACTATAGGATTTAATTATGAAAGTCAATTATGTCAATTAAGTCAATTACGAAAATCAAACAGTAGATTTATTGTTATACTCTACAATACAACATGTACACTATACACTAAATATACTGCTTAATGAACAAGACACAATCATGTTAACAATAAATGAGTATTTGCGAATGAATGAGTCACTTTGCTAAAAATAAATTATCTCCAAGTACTGAATCAAATCTGACAACAGGAATGCTTAAACAGTCTAAATACATTTGGAAAGCAGTGCATGATGTAAAACCATTATTTGTATATTATTGAGTATCTGTAAATTGTTATAACTGGACATTTACTCAGAGAAATAGTGTAAACATATATGCATCCAAGCTTTAATTACCATAATCTTGAATTAAATACTAGTATGTAGTAAACAAATAAGGACCCACTTTATTAAGTGTCATCAACTATTATTTACTAGCAAGTAAATTAAATATCTGATACATTTAGCTTACTGTGTTAATATGCAAAATGCCTGCTTGTAATTATATCTGTATTTCAATTCTGTAGATGCATATAAAATTGTTCAGATGCAAAAATCTCTAACAGCCATCTGAATTATTTTGATCTAAAATTATCAATTTACTCTGCCTCCTAAAGCTTTTTTACTTTAAGAGTAATGAAAAGAATTTATTCATCCTGAAAACACAAATAAGATGAAACCAACTCTTCAATTACTGTACACTGTTGACCCTAATCCTAAACTTAAACATACCCGAACCACTAAACCTGTTCCTAATCTTAACTGTATTCAACCAAAAATGCTTTATGGCTTGCACTTAATTTTACAGTATGTACTCAACAGTGTACAGTGCTACTTAAAGGGACGGTTCACCCAAAAATCATCCCCATTGATGAATACAACCCAATGAAATGTAGCTTACTTTGCAATACTCTGTTTGAAATACACCTTACTCTTTCTTTGTACATATTAATTAATGTAGCATTTGTTCCAAACCTGTTTGAGTTTCTTTCTTCTATTGAACACAAAAGATACACAGAGGAATGTTGGGGGGGAACTTTTAGTGACTGTAATTTTTTGTTCCTACAACAGTATTAATCTTTAAATGTGCTTTTATGAATTTAAGTTTTTTTTTTTTTTTTTTTTTTTTTTTACCATTTACTCACATTTAAATCGCTTGAGTGTGAGTAAATGGTAAAAAAAAAAATAAACTTTTGGGTGAACTTTCCCTTTAAGAACGTACTGGGTTATATGAGGTTAGATGTAATGACAAAAAAAAATGCTACTGTTTTATGCAATAGAACATGACACCTGATATAAAGTGGGATTACAAAAGTTCATTTAGTTTTTATTCATTTAGTTTTCATTTAGTTTTATGGAAGAAAAGCAAGAAAATTAAATAATCACTTTTCTGTAATGTTACTTTTAGAAAAATCCCACAAAACCAGAGAATCTCCTCAGACTAAGTGAAGTGCTGTGTTTTGAATTTGGCTGAGTTTAATAAGAACTGATGAATCTGACTTTTCTTGACAGTTCAGTGAGCACACAGACAGGATTAGGAACTAGTGGTCATGTGAAAATACTTATAATTCCCTCTACAGGGCCAGTCAGTGCTGTGATTTGAGATCTGGTCCCTACTGAAGCAGAAGACTCATTAGTAGCTCACCTTTTGTCCTGGGGGCCCGTCGAGGCCTGGTTCTCCAATGGGGCCTATGAGACCCTGAGGGACACAAAGGAGAAAGGTTGCATCATTGTCATTATTATCCCAAGCAACAATAAAGAGATAGTTCACACAAAAAGAAAATATTTAACTACACTCAAGTGGTTCCAAATCTTAAAAGTTGATCTTTTTTCTGTTGAACACAAAAGAAGATATTTTAAAGAATGTTGAAGATAGCCATTAATTGACGTAGTAGAAAAATAAAAATAAATGGAAGTGAGTGGCTACCAGTTTCTTCTTCAAAATATATTCTTTTGAGAAAAGAAACTCAGATTTGGAACAGGTGGAGGCTTTAAAAAAGCAGTTTTTATAAGGTATAGTTTACTTAAAAAATACAATTCTATCATCAGTTACTCACCCTTTACTTCTTCCAAACTTGCCTGAGTTACTTTTTTTCTGTTGAACACACAATAATTTATTTAAAAGAAAGCTAAAAAAAAAAAACTGTAACCATTAACTTGTTTTTCCTATTATGGAGGTTAATGGTTACAGGTTTTTAAGCATTCTTCAAAATATCTTCTTTTGTGTTCAACAGAAGAAATGTTTGAACAAAGCTTTGAATCAAACTCAAAGATTTGAAACCACTAGAGGAAGCATAAATAGTAAGTGTTCATTTGGGTGAACTATCTCTTTAAATAACAACAGACCAACCTATGACTACAAAACAAAGACACCTGTCAGTTACTCAATATCTTCTTGGACCTTCCGTCTCAGAGATACTTTCTTGACCCCTACTTCCATTTTCACAGAGAATCCTCTTTAATTAAGTCCAGGCGTCAGGTGTCTGCTTAAACAAAACCCCTGTTGTCTGATGGCCAGATTTCCTTTGGTCTTTGCTTCAGTCCGGCATGAGAAATTCCCTGCATTTTTTGACCCTCTTAAGAGTGCCGCCCACTATTGACTGACCTTTATTTTCCCATATACGATTAACTTGAGATTTTAACATGATTCCTTACACGTCATAATTTTGCAGAGTACAATGTGATCCTGGATTAACATCTATGTTGATCCTGGAAAATAATTTTTTGGTCGGAAAATGTAATCCATATCTATTCCCTACCCCTAAACCCAACCATAACTGTAAACTATTCCCAAAATCAGAGAGAAATAATAGTAGGATGACAGTACTTTTGAACTGCATAAACTTAACCCCTAGCCTAAAATTAACATAAACTGTAAACATATCCCTTCATTCTGATTGGCTGACTGGAATGTTGTTCCAGCATCAACATGTATGTTAATCCAGGAACATGTCCTACTTGGTGAAATCAGGTTAGGGTGATTGCTTACATCAGCTCCAGGTAATCCAGGAAGTCCAGCAGAACCAGGTTTTCCAGCATCTCCATCAAGACCCTTTGGGTGCAAACGACAGTGTGTGAGATGCAATGATACTCATAAATAGAGCAAATTGTGACTGATAAAACTTTTTATATTTACAGCAGAGCCATCTTCACCGGTGTCACCTCTCTCCCCCTGCAAGACAAACACATAATGTATAACATTCTGCTGATTTATTTGCTTCATATATATATATATATATATATATATATATATATATATATATATATATATATATATATATATATATATATATATATATATATATATATATATATATTGTTGAAGTCAAATTATTTGATTTGTGAATTATTTTTTTCTAATATTTCGCAAGTTTTTTTTTAACAGAAAGAAATTTTATACAGTATTTCCTACAATATCTTTTCTAATAGAGAAAGTCTTATTTGTTTTATTTCGGCTAGAATAAATGCAGTTTTCAAATTTTTTAAAGCCATTTTAAGGTCAAATTATTAGCCCCTTTAAAGCAACATTTTGTTTTCGATTGTTTACAGAACAAACCATTCTTAAACAATAACTTGCCTAATTACCATAACTTGTATAATTAACCTAGTTAAGCCCTTAAATGTCACTTGAAGCTGAATACTAACATCTTGAAAAAATATCTAGTAAAATATTATTTACTGTCATCATGGCAAAGATTAAAGAAATCAGTTATTAGAAATGAGTTATTAAAACTATTATCCTTAGAAATGTAAGAAAAATTGTGGGGGAAATATACGGGGGGATAATAATTCTGACTTCAACTGTACATATATATATATATTATTCACATTTAAAATAAAATCAACTCACATCAATGCCATCTATTCCAGGCACACCAGCAGGACCAGGAGTCCCAGATCCAGTCCTCTATTACAAAAATGTAAGTACACAATATTGTCATATTCACAGAGTTACAGTAATAGACTAAAGTGATGTATGGTGTAGGAAAATTGATATCATCCCCCTTTTTTAAACATATAATGTACTTTAAAAAGTATCTGTGTGCTCCATTCTCATTGTTTCATTTGTGTTAGCACAAAAAAACACAAACAGAACTGAACAAACACAAAACAAAAACAATGAAATATTATTATCTTATACTGCACTTTCAGATTTTTGTTGTTGCGTAATAAAATAAATCTCAAACACTGTGATAAGCTTTTCTCTTTTTCCAACATGCCATTATTGACAGTTTTTGTTATTTTAGTTACTTTTTCTGGTGTTTTACACACTTATTTCTCTATCTTTATCTAGATTTATGACTTTTTTATATAAAATATTAGTTTTTTAAATATTAAAAATGTCAATAAAAATCTCTTTGTTAAACTGCAGAGTAAATGAGCTTCATAATGCAATTCTACAGCATAAATAAACACAAATACACATTATATATAAAATATATAATATTTAAATTACATAAATTTTAACTAATAAATATTTTTGACTACTTTTCAATCAACCCAGCATTTTTTCAGGTGTATAAGCTTTTAAATTTTTAGATGGAATAATACAAAAGTTCTTCAGTATTATAACTAAAATTATTCAGTAAGTAAATATCATTTCAAGCAAAGAAAAATGAGAATAAAATGCATTTCAACAAGCAGTTCAAACAGCTAAACTGCAACAGGTGTGTGCAGATGCAAAAATGCAGTGCAGTCATACCTCAAAGAATTTTTTCGATTCTAATTTTTTTTTAAAAATGAACTTTCTCTACACTTTCTTTCTCTTACTCTGAATTAAAAGCGCTCACCTTAAACTCAGCCTCAGATATCTGAAAAGAAAAGAACAAAGACTGCATTTACCTGCGCCGTGCAGATGATGGTTATCTCCAACAAAATGAGTAAAAAGGGCCCGCGCACACCTGCAGCGCGAGCCATGATTTCCCCGAAGACAGAAAAGCCCCTGTTTTCTTGGGATCAGTTGGGTTGACGGGACCCCCAGACCAAGAAACCCAACTAAATCCCCTTTCAACTATCTGAACTCAAGGGAGACCATAACCACAGACTGCTCATACATATGCATGAAGTGGTTCATACTTGGTCTGTGATTGGAGGGCAGCGGCAGAGTCAGGGGTGGAGTCTAGCATACATTCGAATAGAAAGCGGGAAATTTGACTAGACGGTGACATTTGACCTTTGTTAACAAACACCGATTCTGATCTGTGGGAGACAGAGAAGGGAATGCTGGGAAATAGTAGAGCTGCAGCATTACATTTTTGCTGATTAAAGGGATAGTTCACCTAAAAATTCACCTTAAATGAATTTTTTGCCATCGTTTACTGTTTTTACTCTTGACTTGTTCCAAATGAGTTAAAGGGTTTTTTTCTGTTGAACACTAAAGAAGATAGTTTTTAAAAAGTTGGAAAGCTGTAACCATTGACTTCCATAGTATGAAAAACAAGTATTAGGGATATCAGTGGTTACAGTTCAGTGCATTCAGTCAATTATTCCATTCCATTCATTTGGCGGTTCATTCCGCTGTTGCGATCCCAGATTAATGAAGGGACTAAACCAAAAAGAAAATGAATGAATGAATGAATGAATGAATGGATGGATGGATGAATGAATGAATGAATGAATGAATGAATGAATACTGTATGAATGAATGAATGAATGAATGAATGAATGAATGAATGAATGAATGAATGGATGGATGGATGGATGGATGGATGGATGAATGAATGAATGAATGAATGGATGAATGAATACTGTAATTTATAACTCTGCTCTCAGAAATCAAGGTACAACATCTGTCAACAAGGCAGTACATTTTCAAAAGGTGCATATTAATAGCTTAAAAAACAAGTGTATACCTCACAGTGTGTAATCTCGATAATACTTTTTCATATTGAACCGTACCGATATATATTTCGATATAGGTTGGTAATGCTTCCAGCTTTCAAGGAGTATCGCAACAATGACTGAAGACACAAAGATTAGATGCTTCATTAAATAACATATTAACAAAAAGTTTACATATTACTCAGATGGGCGACACGGTGGCGCAGTAGGTAGTGCTGTCGCCTCACAGCAAGAAGGTTGCTGGTTCGAGCTTCGACTGGGTCAGTTGGCATTTCTGTGTGGAGTTTGCATGTTCTCCCCGCGTTTGCGTGGGTTTCTTCTGGGTGCTCCGGTTTCCCCCATAAGTCCAAAGACATGTGGTACAGGTGAATTGGGTAAGCTAAAATTGTCCTAGTGTATGTGTGTTAATGAAAGTGTAAGTGTGTTCCCCAGAGATGGGTTGCAGCTGGAAGGGCATCCACTGTGTAAAACATTTGGCGGATAAGTTGGCAGTTCATTCCGCTGTGGCAACCCCGGATTATTAAGGGACTAAGCAGAAAAGAAAATGAATGAATGAATAAATACTCAGAGATTTTGGAGATTCCGATTTTCTGTAATATACTTATAAAATACAATATAAAATATAATATTCTGAAGAACTGTAACTGACAGCAGATATACAGTACACAAACAAAAATTTACGTATTGTATTTTCTAAAATTAAACATAATAGAAATATTTTAAAATAAATGTTTTACTTAATTAAAAATGGTAAAAATAGTCATCATTAAAATAAACGACAGTCTAACCTCTAATACTGCTGGTAGAAAAGTGAATCGAGCTCGCCAAACAATACTGGATAGAGCATAATATCAACACAATTACACATTACCGTTGTTGTATATTTCTGCTGTGTGATTGGCTCTTTGATCAAAATTGAGTAAAAATGTCCATAGCTTATTATCGTTACTGACATAAATTTCATTGTGATTCGATATGATATAATTTATCGGCCCAGCCCTACCTCACAGTACCTTAAATGTAAAAAAGTGAACCTTAAAGGTACAAAGGTGTACCCTAAAGGTACTAATGTCCACCTGTATGGTACAAATGTGTACCATCCCAGTGGCAGATTTTGTACCTTTATTTCTGAGAGTGTACAGATACAAGCTAAAAAGGTGCAACAAATGATACACTCAATAGTGCATTCAGGATGTTTCCTTTACATTAGACTTAAAAAAGCCCCAAATCTCAAAATTGATGCCTAAAAATAGTGCTTTTGTCTGCAGTGTCTGCCTTTAAAATTGAGATGTCAGACATGTCTCACCTGTCTCCTTGCAGGAAGGTCACTGCATGTGTCTCTCTGCGGGATGTTTAAGTCACAGAGGATCAGCATCGACTGCAGCTCAAACTGAAATAACAGACAAACAACCATCAAAAAAAGGCATCATGATAATGTGAGTCAGTCGGGGGTATTGAATTGTCGATCGCTTATGTTCAAAAACATGTTATGTTCAAAAAGAGATTGATTCGGATTTTGGCACACACAAATAGCTTGTTTATCCTGTGCTTTTTGTTCTCAATGTTTTTTTGCAGAACAGTGAATTTAAATGAGTTTTCTTATTGAGGCTAATGATAGATTGAACTCATATTATGCTCATATATTATTTGGTGACACTTAATGTAAAATTTAGACTATACAAAGCATCATGTCTGGCTACGTAATTATACACACTAAGATACACACACTCAAAAATGTATTTTGCTGCTTATTCTAGCTACTTATTTATTGCTCAACAGAATTCTTGAGGGTTTTTTGGACAGCTTAATTGTTTTGTTCAATCAACTTAAAATTGTAAAAACCAAGTTAACTTAATTTCCATTGGGACGACATGAAGGGATTGTATGGAACCCAGCATTTTTTACAGTGCATTCTCCCTTTAATAGTATTATTTAAAATATTGTAAAAAATAAAATAAAATAAAATAGAAGGCGTCAAATGATCAAATAATAATAAATATACATGTTCAATTTTACAAAAGCTTTGTTTCAAACTTTGAACTGTATTTTCTTTATTAAATAAATGCAGCCGTACACATAAAAGACTTGTTCACAGTTTACAATAATGCTAGTTAATGTGTCTAAAATGAGTTAATGCATTATTAAAATCAAAAGTTGTGGTTGTTATAGTTATTTAATAGCATGAACTAATAAGGAATGACTTTATTTCCATTAGCTCACGTTAACAAAAACTAATAAATACTGTAATAAATGTATTGTTTAGTGTTTGTTCATGTTAGTAAATACATTAACTAGCACTAATTGTAATGTGTTACCAGACTGCTTTTAAAAACTTTTTCAAAATCCTATACTGAGCATAATCTTTTGAACAATGCTGAACACTGTACTTATAATGTCTTTACATTTTAAGGTTGATTTTAAAAAGAAATAAAAACTGTGAACTTATTATGCTGCAATGCATCAATTCACAAGGTTTAAACAAATTAAATTAAACAAATTTACCTATGTATTTTTTTTATATATAAACTCATGTAACATTCAGTTGTGGTTTTAGAAATGTATTAGTACAGACAAGTAAATATGAATTAGCAAAGAACAACTGCATGTTGGTAACAAGCATTGCTCGTCGTTAGTTAATGCACTGATAAATAGACCTTATTGTAAAGTGTCATCAACCTTTGGGGTCAGATATGGGTCAGATATGTTTTTCAAAATAAGACGAGAAATGTTTAATAGTTTTAGTTTAAGATAATTTTCTTCAACTTTTTTATCTACTTCAACTTTATTCATTACTCAATTTTTAAATCTTGAACTGGAAAATTATAATTTGGGCAAAAACGATGGATATTTGTGTCTAAAACAGTTTGCAAATTTCAACGCCACAAGTATTACTGCAAAGACAAATCCAGTCTTTTATGCAGGCTGGCAGTTTGGACTAGAACCTCTCTGCTAGAATTCCCACATATCTGCTGAAATGTGTTTGGAAGAATCCAAATTCCATTTAAAGAGGTGGTCTGCTGCAAACTGCTCAGCTCAAAATCACAACAGCACTGCGACCTCGAGGAGAAAATATGCATAAAGTATGTATATATATTTGTATGGGTGATGTTCTAGACATTTAATAACTGATGAATTTTGGCATTCTCATCATGAAAAATGACAAAAAATAATTCTATCAGCTGTTTACGAAGTACAAACCTACACACGGCACGAGTTAGTGATCAGAGAAGTTGCCAAACATATAGCGGACATAAAATTAGAGAACATTTCAAAGTCATTGTTAATTATAAAGACTAGTGATGTCAGTAAGAGACCAGTGATGTCTGTGAGAGACTAGTGATGATGTCTGTGAGAGAGTAGTGATGTCTGTGAGAGACTAGGGATGATGTCTGTGAGAGAGTAGTGATGTCTGTGAGAGACTAGGGATGATGTCTGTGAGAGACTAGGGATGTCAGTGAGAGACTAGGGATGTCAGTGATAGACTGGTGATTGTCTTGTGAGTGACTAGTGATGTCTAGCCACAGCCATATCACCCTGCAGCCTGGTCAGTACCTGAATGGGAAAACTAGGTTGCTGTGAAGGAAGAGGTGTTAGTGAGGCCAGCAAGGGGCACTCAACCTATGGTCTGTGTGAGTTCTAATGCCCTAGTATAGTGAAGGGGACACTATACTGTCAGAGTGCCATCTCAGTGAGTGCCGTTTTTCGCATAAGTTGTTTAACCGAGGTCCTGACTCTCTGTGGTCATTAAAAAATACCATAGCACTTCTTATAATGAGTAACCCTGGTGTCCTGGCCAAATTCCCTTCCCCTCTAGATGGCAGGTGGTGAACGCACTGGTACTTTTGTCTTGTGGCTGCCGTCGCATCATTCAAGTGGATGCTGCACACTAGTGGTGGTGTGGAGAGACTCCCCTCATGATTGCGAAGCGCTTTAGTTGTATGGTCATATATGTTAAATGCGTTATATGCGCTAGATACACGTTACATTACATGTCTGTATACTTCACTTTTGATTAATGCAAAATTATAACAATGTTGCTTTTTTGTTGAACTTAATGCTTAATAATATAATGTAATATTTAAATATATGTGCTCTCTAATTTTGATTTCCTCTTTACACAAAGCTAAAAACATGTTAATGAATATGTTATAA